ACGTTACACCAACACTCCGATCCCTCCACTGGCTCCCAGTACAATTTTATATCTATTTAAAGATCGTATTTGCCATTCTTGCTATCACCCTCTCTTCCTTCATAAACATCCAAAAACAGCCCTACCCTCCTTCCGTTCTTACGCAGCCTCTATTCCCTTGGCAATTATCCCTGAGCTGTGTTTAGCCACTAAACACAGCTCAGGGATAATAGATATTTGTCGATTTTTATTAATTGTGCTTATCGTTGTTACTGTTGACTGACGATTAAAATTAAAATATCATACCGCCGTCAAGATCATCCATGAACGAGAAAGCCAGGTGCTGGAGTTAGCGGTGAGGGACAAACCAGTGTCACCGCACCCATGAAGCACTGGGAATCTGTGGTTATGTGGGCTGCACACACAACCACGTGACACAAACAGTGGAGAGGTCATAGCACAGACACCTCATTGCAGCTACACCTGAACATATACAAATCTTATCCCCATGATTTATTAAACATCCTTGAGGATTCAGAAATAATGAGAAGAATCAACAATACCCTGTTCCCAGGGGGTGACAGCATTGGGGATAAGAGGATGATGGGTGGTAAGCGGTTGACATGTATGAGTTTAGGAAAAAAAGGTTACAATGTAAAATTGGCGTCAGAAAGCCTGATGGCAGGGACAACGTTGAGCTATTGGTGAACACTGAAGGGTCGCATGAGAAGCAAAGAGTGGGATGGAGATACAGGCAGATACAGAGATCCCCCGTATAGCCTTAACATATTTATGGGGCAAGTGCTGTTAGCAAGAAACATTTTTTTTATTGACCAGGTAAGGCCCAATGAGCTATATCGCTCTTTCCAGAAGCGACCTGGTCACAAACGACAGCTCAACGAAGTGGCTTATCGCGTGCCGAATTTATAGCAGCCTGGATAAAAATCCACGCGACCACGGGGAGAACACACAAACTCCAAATATACATGCGTCAGGGGCGGGTTCGAACCCACGACCTCCTCCTCTACATCAAACTGAGGTAGTTAACATCTCGCCACCGTGGCGCCATATAAAGGCCGGCACGACACACGAGGGGGTGGTGTCAGGACCACGCCGAGCCACCTTTGTCTCCCTCGTAGTGATGTTCTTGTACATCACACCAGGTCTGAATTTGAGGCCGAGTCGACCTAGGGGAGGCCTAGGACTGATTCAAGATTATTTTTGACTGGTGTTGATCGTGAGCAGGAATCAAACTCGGGTGGCCGGGTTCGCAGAGCAGCGTGACAACCGCTCCACTACCACTCTGCACTACTCACTGGAGCAAGTTACACACAAACCCACACACACACAATGGAATATACAGCACATGCAACAAGACGCGTGGATACACAATAAACGCAATGTACCCAGAAATTGTTGCAATGGTTGTCATACAGACATGCTACAATTATGCGTTTTTAAAGTATATCGTGCATTTTTTGTACTTTAACGACTTTATAATTAAACATAATAACGCGTAATAATTTCACACTTACCCTCTGTACAGCATGTGGCAAGCAACACAATAAAGCATCCGAATGTAGTCATCATGTCAGCCCTGGAAATAAATAAATATGCATTATGTTGCAATGCTTCGTGGTAAATTGTCCCGATCGCGCATACACGCAGGGATACGTTCCCTTTGGGAATGTATGTATGTTGAACTTATTTCGCACCATACGTAGCCAACCGTGCTAATCGGAGGTGCGGGAAAACGTTCCATGCCTTGGCTGCCACTCCATCATCAACCTTGACCGATAAACTTGCACTGATTTATTATTTTTTCTTCAGGCACATTGATGTTGCTTTTCCATGATCACACTCAGTTTTCCAAAAGCACTCACTGCACCACGCTCTCACTCCTTAGCCATATCTTTAATTGTTTATTAAACTTGTACGTGACTTGTGCGTGTATATATTGTGGGATATACAGTTTATTTGTATTCCAATTTTGGAGGCCTTTTTTTGTAAGTTCTTCAATCATTCCTTCGAGTTCATTTGAATTGGTTGTTATGACTATGTAATTCAAAGATAATAGTATGAAAATATGTTGATGTAGTTTCAATCAAAACGTCGCGTATCTATTTGCTAAAATTGGCTGAGGATTGTTCTTTAACTTCCCGGTGAGCTGAAATAATTGGCACGTTAAACACTTGTACACGTGGAAATAAAAAAATGTTTTGGCTGTGTCGAGTGGTGGATGGTCTTAACGACACAATTGTGGGCATATCATTCAGTGGCCTAACCCAAACATCTATTGTGAATCTTAATAAGACTGCAACAACGCATGCTTTACTTTAAAACATAATTCCAGCCTTTGTCAATCCACGATTTGATGAAAACATATCCATGCCGGTCATAAGGGCTGTTTGACCAGACTTCACCAGACTAGTCAGTGCACATTGGTGAAGTGAAAGGCCGGCACTGGTTCTGATATCACTCGCTACCGATGTTGGTCATGGCTCGTAATTAAACTCAGGTTGCTGGGTTTATAGTGCAGCGTATTAACCACTGCGCCACGGCTCCACCATTCATGACTGTCATCAGAAATTCTGAGAGTGTGAACATGTGCTCAATGCATGTCTATGCCTTTGTTCCTATCCAGATTGTGTAAACATCTTCTCAAGTAGCTGTGAGCATTTAAAACTTTCGTGACTGTAGGAATTCATATTCGTGGTTCTTTCGGTAAAGCCACGTAGATAGAAAATTAAATAAAATTAAAATAAAAGCAAAAAACCCACAATGTTTCGATCGCAACACAAGAGGTATTCATCAGGCGGAGAGAAAAGATGGCAAGCCTCCAAATGCTGCTGTGAGCAGCCTCGGTGAGCGTAATACATTTACGAAATGCATTAATGTAACGAGATGAAAACCCATCCACAAGTGAGTTGTACCCTTAAGTATCAAATAACTTCTTGAACATTTAATGAACCGTTCTTATTACCCCAAATCCCGTATGTGCACTACAACCACTAACTAGTTAACTTGCCTCGTACGATTTCATTCACGTGTGTACTGGAAGTCATACGAATGTGTAAACTGTTTTTAATGCATTAGAATTGTTTGTGTTAACATCAAAGCACGTCATGAATTACATTTGTGAAACAACAAGAATCAAGAGCGCACAATGGCATTTTTTTCCACCATAGCCTTATGTGAATACACGTGACAATTTAAATATATACACGAGTAAAAAAATGTTGCGTAAGACATTATTACCTTCAAGGTCCGCACAACCAGCCCTCTTGCGTGCTTACTCAACCTCGTGCACCCTGGATACTTGTCCAGGGAACGTCTTATCGTCAAACAATATCGCACCTACACACGTGTGTCGAACTTTCGCACACCTGCTCAGCGGGTTGTAAGCTGTGGAAAATCCCGTGCATTGCGAGACCACATTAGCCACAATTCTTGTGAAAGGTGGCGCCCTAATTTTTTTTTCACCCTTTGCCCATGAACAGCTATGTTTCCACAGTTGTACGCCTACCTACTAGTGGGAGGCACGTTATAAGATTGAGATGTTTCTTCACAATACAGCTAAATGACACCTTCATACGCATTACTGATTGTAGAGTTGCTATGATTAAGAGTCTTAGCCTGATGCTGAGTGCACTGCAGTGGCTCACTTTTAAGTAGAGCTATATTACATCTTACCGAGTACATTAAAACACAATACAATTGTGAAATACAAAAACACTTCATAGAGTGAAATTAATAACATTTCGCATCATGACAATTATATTGACATATAGTAATTATATAGTACACATAATCAGAATATGTATTTATACTGGAGTAATCTGAGCTATAAAGCACTTTTTCACAGATATCCAGTAGAGGAGGGTCAGAACATTTCAACAAACAATAAAAAAATACGATACGAGTGCAAAGTATAGGAAAGGTAAACAAATCACTTGAAACAAATATACACAACTGTATTCTACACTCCTTAAACGGAGGAACAGCAAAACACGAACTCTGTGCACTGAATGAATCCCTCTCGTAGTGGCGAACAAACCTCGACATCGGCACCAAACTCCTAAACCACATAACTACCAACACAAGGAACAATAACATTTAATTAAATCACGACATCCATAGTTGGGTGCAGTAGGTATATTGTTACGCCTGTTTGCTCGGGAGCGCCTCCCTGAGTCTCGTTTTTTTGGCTGCTATAAATTTCCACGTGATGATAATCCACTTCGTTAAGCTATCATTTAAATGTGACCAGGTCGCTTCTAAAAAAGAGCTGTGTGTATATGGTAAAATTAAAAAAAGTTTTAAGTATTCATATAAGGGGACGATGTTGATGCTATGTACATGTCATCACAATTGAGCCATTTGCAGGCAGTGTTTCAGAATTGGGATGTTTGGCCAATACCACTTACATTGGGGTTTTCTTTTAGCTATGGGAGGAGACCGGGGCGCTGTAAGGAACCTCTTGCAGATCAAGGGGAGAACATACAAAAACTCTCACACACAAAGTCGTCCCAGTTGGGAATCGAACCCAGATCCTTCTGACTGTGAGACACGAGTTGTTACCTGCGGCGTCAGCCTGTCGCTGCAGCTCGTCAACAACACTTTGGCTTAAAATACATAGCAGGCGACGTTTCGGGCAATGACCCATTCTTTGTCCGAAACGTCGCCTATTATTTATTGTATCTCTCTTCTGACCGATGTTACATTCACTAATGTATCGTAAACCATCGACTCCCGAAACGCACGGTTCGCTGCAACAACAACCGCTATTCGCCATTAAGTGGCGGTGACATCACCAGGGCGCTTGTGCCAGGCTACGTGCACGTCGAGGCCACGTGAAGTGTCGAACGGCCGTTGGCAGGAGGTCACGGGGCAGACCCAAATCGACTGAATGAGAATACTGACCGATGCACACCTCGTGCGCCCCCTACGGTGCCAACGTTTCGATTCGCATGCACGCACAGCAGCAAATGTCGACTACGGGAATCGATCGATTTATCTTTCCAATCACTCCGCTGAAAGTGTGGCCGCCGAGTGCCACTCGACCCACGGGCTGCGGCCTCGCGTGAGCGGTCGGAGGTGGAGGAGGAGGAGGTGGTGGTGGTGGCCCACGATTCATGGCAGGGCTCCCCCCCCGGGGCCTCCCCGTGGCCTCGCTGTGCTCGCTGTGCGCCCGCTCCCTGGTGTCCGACCACGGCCGGGCGCGCCACGAGCTGCGCCGCGTCCCGGACTCGCTGCTGCCGCTGCTGCTGAGCGCGGCGCTGCGCGGGGACCGGCCGCTCGTGGCCGGGGACCTGGTGCGGGCCTGGCCCTTCCCCGTGCTCGACCTGGCCGAGGTCCTCGCCTGCTGGGGCAGGGCGGAGGGCCTCGCACAGCCCAGCGCGCCCTGCATGCAGGCCTGCATCTCCGCGCTCACGCGTCGCCGCGTGAAGCGGGGCGCGGACGACGACGAGGTGATGATGGAAGAGGCCGAGGGGCCGGAGGGCCGAGGTGGGCCGCGCTCACCGTGCGCGCTCCGCCTTCTCGACCTCACGGGCCTGCCGGACGAGGAGAATGAGACGGCCCTTCGGAGAAGCACGAACAGCTGGTCCCGCAGCGTGGCTCTCGCCAAGGCCGTGCTCGGGGACGGGAAGCGCAGGTGGGAGGCCGTGGACGGGCCCGGCGGGTCCCCCCCGAGGCCTCCTACCCACCGCCGCCGACACCGCCGCGTGGTTGTCCACGCGAACCTCGTGGTGAACGTGAGCTCGTACGAGACGCTGCTGGCGGCTCTCCAGAGCAGCTGCCGGGCGGGCTCTGCGCTCAGCCTGCGCTGCCGCGACCTCCGCGTCGAGGAGCTGTCGCTGCGTCGTCTGTGCCGCCTGCTCGAGGCGCTCGAGGCGCTGGAGGCCCGCGAACCCGCGCTGCGCCAGCTGGACCTGGGCTTCAACAACATGGGGCTGCCGGGCCTGGCCGCGCTGCTGCCGCGCCTCGCCCGCTTCCCGCAGCTGCGGAGCCTCAACCTCGCCTACAGCAACGTGGACGTGAGACGTCTCCCGCAGGGCACGCCCGAGAGGGGGGGCGAGGAGACGTTCTGCAGGGTCGCGGAGGCCCTCAAGGAGCTCGGCGCCCTCAAGGAGCTCAATCTGGAGGCGTCCAGGCTGAGCGACCGCCTTCACCAGCTGCTGGCGTGAGCAGCAGCAGCAGCAGCGCCGTGAGCCCTCGCTGGGTTCTGTTTAACAATTGTAGATTTGAAGGTTTCGTGACTGCAAGGATTCATACTCTTAGGTTCTTTCGGTAAAGTCACGTAGGTAAACAACGCTCATGAGCAGACGATTTGGACAATATTTGGCGGTCATGCGACGAACATCAAAACTAAACAATTTTTTGTTATTTAACCAGCTCAGGCCAACTGAGCCATATGATGGCTCTTTTCAGAAGCGACCTGGCCACAAATGATAGCTCAACGAAGTGGATTTTCACGTGGAAATGTATAGCAGCCAAATTCTCTGAACGCACGTGTATACATGTGGAGGGAAAACCCGGAGGACCCGGAGAAAATCCACGCGACCACGGGGAGAGAGACATGCAAACTCTAAATATACAGCAGGCGGTCAGGGTCGGAATCAAACCCAAGACCTCCTGTATACCTGGCGATATATTTAACATCTCGCCACCATGGGGCTCACTTAAAAAAATACATTGAGTGTTTTACACATCCCATTAGCACACACGGTCTTCATTTGCTAGTATATAATTCAGAAGCACTGCACCGGTTTCGACATTCATTTTCCCATTAGAAATCAGGCTTTCTTTAACCAAATTCTGAACTGCCAGATGTTTATAGGCGAGGACCCTCTCTTGTGATATATAGTTCCTAGTCAGATGTGAAACTATAGACCACAACACGAAATAATGTGGTTCTGGAGAATGCCATATTAGTCGCAATAATCAGAACACACACCTTTTCATATTTATAAAACTACATACAGTATTGTATAATCATTGACAACGACACTCCATGGTAGATATTGTATCTAAAACAGTATATAAATCCCAACAGTAATATGTTTTGATGTATCAATGCATTAGCACTCAAGTTTGTTTAACAAGCCTTGTTTAACAAGTCTACTGGACATCGATGAGAACTATTTATAGCTAATCGGATTCCTCCAGTATAAATAAATATTCCCATTCTGATATTATTACACTCATTTACCTAGTAAAGTCTCACTGAATCTCAATGTTATTTTTCAGGAGGGTCCTGCCAAGTCTCTGAAGGAGGGGGCAATGTTATGTGTAATACTAATTTAGGTAATTTGTGGATAATTTTTCAACATTGGGATATTTGGTCAAGAGCAACTATATAGAACAGTATATTTTTTAGCTCATGAGGCCCAGAATATTGAAACCAGTTCGGATTTTGCTGCTTAGAACAAATTCTGCTGGAAAACCATTAGGCTGGAAGGCTGATGCACTAAATATATACATGTTAATACTGGTAGGAACCTGGTTACACCAGCCCACGGGATTATTGTGTCCGTCGTGCAGAGAGGGGCTGGGTGGGGAGGGAGGGGCCGGGTGGGGAGGGGAGGGTGGGGAGGGGCTGGGTGGGGAGGGGATGGGTGGGGAGGGCGGGGTGGGGAGGGGCTGGGTGGGGAGGGTGGGGAGGGGCTGGTCACCCTGTGGTGCCCTTATAAAACTCAACGTTTAACATATGCCGGCTTGTGCCCGCCCTCACAGTCGGGCATATTTGCGGAATACACCACGCCGCCATTGACCGAGCAACCCAACGTTCCTACCAGCTCCCTCCGCAGGAATGTGTTGTGTAAACATAGATGGAGGTTTATGATATGCATGTGTTTGTGTGATTCCTCGTATGGTATGAAAAACGTAAGTGTTGTGCGTGGTGTGTATGCAGTGGCATTGCTCCCCTGGAGAGTTTGGGGCTTGCTTACTGCTCCCTCACCCCTGGCGACATGGCGTCACTTACGGCCTCACACCACACGGAGAGTCTCCGCTGTCTGGACATCAGTGGCAGTGGCCTTGGTCAGCTGATTCCAGGTGACTTCCTTGCAGTGATACCTTGTTGCTGCAATGTGAATTTAAATTGATGTCCTACTCATCTTCTGATTAACAGCCATGAGCCAGTGACAGAAATTCTGCATTCCTATGTTGGGATCGAGTCTATCCATTGGACAACCACTGTGTACTTATCCACAAAGTAGGATGATGGGTTGAGAATCTCCAACCAAGATTCGAAGGGTGGTGTAACGTTACAAGTTCTCAAATGGCAACAGCAAAATGTTACTCGTTTCATTAAATAAAAAGTTACAGGCCCAAACCTATCTCGCATTTGGTGTATGTTTCCAGAATATGAGACAATACTAAAGGTAATGGAACATTTTTTAGCAAATATATATTTCAGGAATTAATTTCAGGTGACTTTTTGATTGACATGAACTCACTCACATTTGTTATTTGTAAAAAAGCCTACTGGATAACAATATCGATGTCTTGTCGAATCATATGCTAACTCTATACTATCTCTACTCAGGATTGTGTTCCTTGCTGGGACGCACCACAGCCCGTCTCCAGGAGCTGAGTCTTATTGGCTGTGGTTTGGCTGATCATCACATCCCAGCGCTGTTGGCAGCCCTGCCAGCCTGCCAGGCCCTGCAGAAGCTGCGTGCTCAAAACAACCCACTCTCCCTACAGGCCCTGCTGCAGTTGACGACCTGCCTGGCCTCCTTACCTGGCCTGCAAGCTTTTTATTATCCCGTGCCCTTAGAATGCTACGTGTCGGGCTTAGCCGCCAATCCCCTGGCTGATCAGTTGTTGGAACACCCAGTGCAGCTGGACTCTCATGCCCGTGCACACTCGGAACTGAGCAGTGTCTTCGTCAGCCTCGGTAAGAGAGATGTCTTGCTGTCAACCACTTTGTACCCCACTATTCTTGCATATGGCAATATTTCCATGAGCTGAATGCTAGCCATGAGAGGGCGTCAAGAAAGAGTTTGTGTAGTTTTGCAATTGCTCTGTTGAAGGAGTGCAGACTACATTGGTTAACTATATGGTCCATAGTTTGGGTTGTATGGGCGCAGTCTCACTGTGGCAGGTCTTTAATAATCCATTGATGAAGATATGCGCATCAACGTCTTAAATAGAGTATTGAGACTCCACAGTGAGGCTTCCCTGGTTAAAACAAGTGATATAATTAGTATTCATGGTGAAAAGTCGTGTGTTTAGCGGTTTTGATTTGCGGCGTTTTGTTTACAACCGTTAAATACCTCGTGCAATGTCATTTTGTAACTTACTAACCCACCCCTACTGGAAATTTGTAAAAAAAAGATTTATCCAGGATAAATAAAGATTCTTGTTCATTCTGGATGCTGCACTCATTTTCTGCAAATGTTGATGATGTATACCCGGGAAACTGGATAAATGGGAACATCCGTGGAACAAATAAAATCAACAGCCTCGACGGGAGATGCAATTGACCTGTCAAAATCAAGATTGCAATTCACAGTGTGCTGCTGAACCAGTACCACCACTGGCATTCTGAGTTCTGCTCGTGTCCTTGATGGAAGATCAAAGCGAGTCCTTGATTGAAGATCAAGAACGTGGACTTCACCGAAACTGCCAATTGCGGTGAAATGCAGAAACTATCAGGCATCTTATCACTGGTGACTGCCTCAACACAACCACGCTGTGTTCTGGTGTAAAAAGTTGATTACTCCGCTCAGCGCTGGAATGCTGCGGTAGAATGGCTTACAATAATGAACGCACAACTGTAGTCTGTGTTGTCAAATGCCACGCGAAATAAACAATTAGAAGACTGCATACCTGACCACCCATATGGTTTACCCGTATTCTTGTACAGGGAAATTGAGTTTTCAGGTCCATATGGCGTACAGCTGTTTCAATACGGGAAAAAAATAATATTTGTGTTTCTCCCTTGTGATGGGACTTTGAAGGATGAACGTTAAGATTTTTAAGGGCGACCAATAAGGTCTGAATTGTTCTAATAAGGTAGGCACTGATAAGGGGTTGATCGGTATGAGACATTATCAGTGGTTATAACTATTCTTTGGGTCTTTCTGTAAAGTCACGTAGATGGGTTTAAAGAAAAAAAAACTACGACGTTTCGATCGCAACATAAGCGGTCGTCATCAGGAAAAGGGGGTTAGCCTCTAAAGGCAAACTGTTTATAGAGGTTTAAAGATGGGTGTAGCCCAAGTGTGTCAGCAGCATGGGCGGGGCAGCTAATGTCAATGTAGGGGAAAACAAACGACACCGACAGTGGGTCTCCAATCAAAGGGCCGCCAGGCAAACATTGCACCTCGCTCCACACTCCGACACTGCTGACGGTGGAGATTGCTGCGAGAGGTGATGGTAGTAGTGGGCAGTGATAATGCTGGTGGTAGGCTTCCACCAATTAAAGGGCTACCAGGTCTAACATGGAAATATTACAGCCAGTTATGACTTAAACTGGTTGATAACTGTGAAGGATGTGATCCCTGACATGCAATACCCCGGCGTCTACAAACTAAGTTGGTTCTGCGGCAGTAGTTACATTGGGGAAACTAAGCGACATGTCTCGGACTGAGTCCGTGAACATAAAGCAGATCTGATCTGAAACACGGTAGGACCAATACCTCGGCCGTGGCTGATTATTGCTTTAATGTGGTGGGCTCACACGAAATGGATTTCTCTAAGGCGAAGGTACTTTGCAAACCCACTGGCTATCAACGAAGATTTGTTCATGAAGCCATCCATATATACAGACATGGGGCCGTCCATAAATGACGTCACGCACCTGGGGGGGGGGGGGTCCAGACATTTGTGACGATGTGTGACGAGGGGTGGTTTGAGAAATGTGACGTCACATCAAAATGTGCAACTTTAAATAAATATAGACAACACGTTCTACTGAATTCGACTTTTTAATAAATGTTTTCTCCTACAACATCAGAGTGCAGCGGCACATTAATTACGCACTACAATGACAATAGTTTAAAGCGATTTGAAGCATGTTTTATTTTTGGGGGGGGGGGGGGGCAGAGCTTTGTGACGTCATATTTGAGGAGGGGTCTGACTTTGTGACGTCGTGTGACGAAGGGGGGGGGGGGTCAAAAATCGCGTGACGTCATTTATGGACGGCCCCCAAGCTTTAAGTCAAGTGGTGATCACCACTGTGGTGGTCACGTTTAAAATGCTAGTACGGATGCGCATAGAGACCCAACCGTGACAACGTAACGCGGAGTCTTGTAAATCGTAGTCTGGATTGGCACGCGGCGCTCACGTGACTCGCAACATGGAGGCGCCGCGCGTCTCGCTCTGAGGAAGCCTCCCAGAGCGGCGGGCGAGGAGGAGGAGGAGGAACGCAGCGCGGGGAGACGGAGAGAGGCAGGGCGAAGGGGGAGAGATTCCACTCCTCGACAGCGCAATAAGGGACACGAGGTGTGGGGGGGGGCTGTTCTAGCGCCTCTGAAGACCCGCAGCTCGGCTGCAGGCGGGAGCTGCGGTTTCGCGTCGCGCCGTTGCCAGGTGACGCGGAGAGACGGTGGGGGGGGGGGTCGTTACCGTGGGGGGGTAACGGCGTTACCACGCGGAGGTAATGGCGTTACCACGGGGTAACGGAGTCGCGGGGAGGTAACGGCGTTACCACGCGGAGGTAATGGCGTTACCACGGGGTAACGGAGTCGCGGGGAGGTAACGGCGTTACCACGCGGAGGTAATGGCGTTACCACGGGGTAACGGAGTCGCGGGGAGGTAACGGCGTTACCACGCGGAGGTAATGGCGTTACCGCGGGGTAACGGAGTCGTGGATAGGTAACCGCGGGGGGAAGGTAACGGGAGTTACCGCAGGGTAAAAGCGTTACGCTGGAGTTACTGAATGTTGCAGTGTCCTACGGCGGGGTAACTGCGTTACAGCGGGAGTACAGAGGGTAACGGTGTTTGTGCAGTGGGGTCATTGCAGTGGGGTAACGGGAGGAGGGGTAACGCCGTTACAGAGAGTTGGAGCAGGGTAACCCGGCCACCCGGAGTGTGGCATTACCACGGCACCAATCAACATCCACGGAGAACCATGTCGTCCGTATATTGCACGGTTGCATTGGTTAACTAATACAATATCAAGCGCAGGTTTCTACAGATCTATATAATCTAAACGTATGCTCCTGACATGAGGACGCTGACGTGATGCAATTTGCTCTTTATTCCCCTCCCTTCCATGGGTACAGTTGTCATGTAGTATCTCACCATAGCAAAGCAACTTATTGAAGTTTGTTTTTTTTGTTAACGTCTTCTCATTGAACAGTTACTTGGGGAAAATGCTGGTGCCCATCTTCACACTGAAACTTGGTCATAAGATCAACCCGCGCATGGTGACGCTGGGATGCTACGATGGGAAGCACCCGTGCCTCACTGCTGCCACCCAAGCTGGAAAGGTGCCCAATGATTGCAATCGTCTGCAAAAGTTCATTCCTTCCTCTTGTCCACTGGATCGATATCTATAACACAGGGAGAGAGGGTCATTGCCTCCAAACATCTTGCAGTCCACCAGACGCAACAAAAAAACGTCTCGGAGTGTTGCTTTTATTGAACCAATAATGCTGAAAGAAGGCCATGTGGCGATGAGATGTTTAAATGATTTACTTTTTGATTTGGAGGGACAGATATTGGAAAGCGACGTTTTGTCTGCTTACTTTGTACACTGGTAATTTCGCTTTAGTTATATTTACATTACTTATGTAAAATAAACAATTTACTTCCGAAGGAAGACATTTTATTTTTGTACATTGATAGAACGTGCACGACTTCCAGTTGGCAGTTGACTCCGCACTCACCATTACTCGAAAATCTGTGCTTGGTTCACGCATTCATGCCCTAGGAAGGATTGGCATGAATTAACATACTCTTTGGTTCTTTCGGTAAAGTTACGTAGGGTTAAATAAATAAATAAAATGGATTAACATGTGACGGCGCAATTAACTTCGCAGGTATTCATTCACAACCCTCACACGCGGAGTGTGGTGAGCGGTCCCCGTGCCAGCCAGGTGAGCTCCGAGTCAGACATCACGCTGCTGAACGTGAACCAGGCGGTGAGCTGTGTGGCCGCGGGCCGCCTCGACCCCAGCCTCTCGTGGGATGTCTTGGCCGTGGGCACCCACAGCAGCCTCCTGGCCTACGATGTGCACAACAACTCTGACCTCTTCTATAAAGATGTACGGAGCACCACGCATTCCCCCCACCGTTAGTATTACGTGAATCTTCGTGCACCTAGCATTGTGGATGTTGAGTCCAACAAGTGAAAATTGAGCGATACCACATACTCCCGCTGTGTGACTTAATTTAAGCTGGCAAAGCAGCAGAAGTACGTTTTAGTCGTGAAAACATGTGCTGTGTTGATCTCATGTTATAATGTAATTTCTTGGCATCACATTCGAGACATTAAAAAATGCATTATCTCGTGTAATTTTTATCTTGGGATTAGATATTACATATCACGAGCCTATTGCCATTGAAAACTCAAGCAGCTTTATTGTGATTCTCTCGTCCTATGCCTGGGCTAGCACATATCCCCATTTTCTCTACTCAATGCCTACTTTTGCATTGAAATATCCCAGAAACAGGAGAACATTAAGCTGATGTGTTTTAGGAAAGAGACACTGCATTGTCTAATTACAATGCCTACAAATCCTGCTTAGCACAATTATCAAGTCAAAAACTTGGTGACCCACATTATTACTCGCAATCGCTACCCATGATTAATTATGTTACCTGTCCTTTCACCCACTATATCCAATGGTGTAATACTCTCATTTGCAGCTCCTCTGAATGTATCCATCTTGTTTTACCTTCCCACAAATTATCTCATAACGAAAATATCAATATTGTCAATGTTGGTTCACATGCAGGTGGCAGATGGAGCAAATGCTGTGGTGATTGGAGAACTCGGCTCCATTGCAGCTCCTATGGTCATCATTGGGGGCACTTGTGCCATTCAGGGTTTCGACTGCAAAGGAACAGATCTCTTCTGGACAGTAAGCATCTCTCACTATGTCAGCTGATGTTAAAACCACTGTCAAACCTCTTGAAGCCAGACTGGGTAAGCCGGAAAGGCTAACTACGTCAGTAATGCAATTAACACTGGCCGATTAAGCTGCACTTCAGTCAGGGTCGTGCAGTACCATTTCTGATAAACTCTTAAAACCTGTGAGAAGGGGCCTCTGTTTCTTGGGTTTAGAATCTGCCTTTACGATCATGGAACGTAACCTGTATGAAACTATGCAATAGTATTTTTTTAAAGTTGTATTACTGTAAATTGTAAATATTAAGTTATATGTTATTAAGTGTCAATTAATTGTGTTCTGTATTACGTGTAAATATAATTATACCTAAGTATTCAATTAATTATTATTTGCATACCTGATGCACCTCATAGTCAAAATGATAAAAATATATATTTTACCAGGTAAGTGATCTGGTCACAAATGACAGCTCAACGAAGTGGCTCATCATGTGGAAATTTATAGGAACCAAATACTCTAAACGTGTGTTTCTAAAATGGGAGGAAGCACCGGGGACACCCGGAGAATTATCCACACGGCCATGGGGAGGACATGCAAACTCCATACATACGAGTGTCAGGGACGGGACCAAACCCACGACCTGCATACCAGGCAGAGATATTTTATTGCCTTCTGTTCTGAATAAGGCCCATTGAAGAAGGGCCTTCTGAATATGTTCCCATTATATTAGATGTGACATTTTTAATTCTGTTCCAGGCTGTTACCACATTATAGATTTCAACTGGGTGCGAATGTTAACTTGCTGTGATGGCCCTGTGCAGGTTACTGGAGATAACGTACGATCACTCGCGCTGTGTGACTTCAGTGGTGATGGAAAAAATGAGGTGAGGCTTTTCTTCACTGCTCCTCTTGCTCTCAGTCTTGAACATAGGATCCATCGACAGTGCTCTCTTATTGGTTGTTTTTCAGTTGTTGTAAGTTTTACTGTTAGCTGCTATTACAATACATTCAGATGTGTTTTAATTTGAATGCCATTCGAGTTTTATATTTTTAGAAATGCAGCATATGCAGTAGCGACTCATGCAACAGTCATCGAAGGCTTTGTGTATGTATTGTATGTTGAACTTCTTTTGCACCGTACGTAGACAACCATGCTAATCAGAAGTGCGGGAACGGGACAGTGCTAACGTGGCCTCTCTTCTGACCTTGTGTTCAGGTTTTTTGGGGGTAGGAGGAGAACGTTTGTTGTCAGCCAGGCTGACGTTGAGTTGTACGCGCCCACACCTTGTGCCCACGAGCCATCGAAAGAGGCGGCCTAGTTGTGTTTGCCTACTTTGTTTTCCCCTGCGCCTACCTAATCCGCCCGTGTGAGAATTGTGGGAGTTAGGAACGACTGCACCCAGTGTCGTGCCTGCCTCGACACGAGACGTGATTTGTCGGATTGTCCCAACTGTGCCTCTCGGCCTCTATCTCTGTCGTTTGAAATCACATCCTGAGAAGGCAGCCGCTAGTAGCACGATGTAGTAGTTTGTTTGAATGATTTGCATTGTATTACACAGCTTTTGGTGGGCTCAGAAGATTTTGACATCCGAGTGTTTAAAGATGATGAAATAGTGGCTGAAATGACTGAAACAGAGGTTAGTACAGCACATCGCACACGCATGCTTACTCAATGGCCCACATGCTCACGAATGCACTCTCCATGTTCGCTGTCACGCACGCATGTTTACTCTCCTGCATGTTTGCTCACGTATATGCTCCTCACTCACATGCGTACTCACACGTTCGCTCACTTGCACGCATGCAGTTTGAGTTAGGTCAACAAAGCTCCACACTCACTTTTTAGTATGAATATTGTATCACGGTAGTTTACAAACTGAGGATAAAAAAAAATCCAGAATTTTTTAAAATATTCTTCACAATTTCTGCTTTTTCACAGACAATTACATCTTTGTGTCACCTGCAAGGCAGTCGATTTGGATACTCGCTGGCTAACGGGACAGTAGGTGTCTACGATAGAACGACTAGATACTGGAGAATTAAGGTAAGATTTATTTAAAAGCTGTAATTTATCATTTAATTCATACCGTTATGCTTGTTTGAACTCTTAACAGTTTTTTTTCATGCTGGTAGTCCTAATGTCTGCTTCAAGCTGTCATTCACTTCCTCCTACTCGTTGTTATGGACACCATGAGTATATTTATAAACACGCAACTCTTATAACCTAGGTTATCACGAGTGAGCGATATTTATACATTGTAAGCTCTATTGAGCATGTCTGTCGTGCATTTTCTACCGAACTCATTAAATGTCTGTAAAGGGTCTCGAACATCATACAGTAGTGAGTTCCAGGACGATGGACCGCTGAGTAGGTGAGTGGGTGTGTGAGTAGGTGAGCGAGTGGGGTAGGTGAGTTTCAGGCCAATGGACTGCTGACCGCAAAGCTGTCGAAGTTCACGGAATGGTCAGGTCACTATGCGCTGACCATGATCACTTTAGCCTCAAAAACTCCTACACTGTATAGGTGTCTCTACCCTTCTGATTGAGTCCCATGAATACATTTCAGATCTGCATAAAAGGGACTGTTGTCTTTTCAGAATGTGCTTAAATTTGGTGTTCTACGGTCATATGAATTAATTTATGAATCTCAACCGTATTGTAAAATGTAATTATTATATTAAAGGAAATAAATAGTTGTAATTTTATAGATCAAATTTTAGGAACAGTTGGTTTTGAGGTATGGTCTGGTAATATTTCTCCCAAATCCAATCCACAGGTGTGTAATTGCAGTGCTGTCACCAGGGTGGTTAACATCTAATATATGGGGTAATAATAAAGCCATGAAGTTTATCCCCTGTGACAAAGTCAGCAGATATCCAATGACTTGTCAAATATCATATACAATACATAGTCACTACACATGTAATTGATAGGTGCCCTGTTTACCAAATATCAGCATGTGACTGGTGCCAAAACGATAATTAAAATATTTTTTATATATATAATTGATGCTTAACGTTAATGGTAATGTCATCAATAAACATGCATACTTTCACAATGGCTTGAACATTTCCTCTTTAGCTATAAGAAGATAATTCTGGCATGGCATGATTTGTCGTAAGACTAAGAGTGGATTTTCTAAAGGTCTGATAGTTCCAGTCGAATTAATTGTACCACTTTTATTATGTAGAAAAGTAGTTCCAAAATAATATTTATAGGATGTTATGACAATTTAATAAATAATTATTTAAACGTTTCTACTATTCCTTGTACTAAAACTCATCAATGAAGCAGAAATTATATTGTTGTGCTTTTTTTTAATTTATTTTTCTAGTCAAAAAATCAGCCCGTCAGTATCCATGCCTTTGACTTGGACTTGGATGGAGTTAACGAGCTCATCACCGGATGGTCCAATGGAAAGGTAAAACGTGTGCAGAATTCACCCAAAGTTTCAAATGGCGATACCTCTCGGATTCTGTGTACCCCAATTGTAGCGCAGAGTAAGATTATACATTTAAGTTCACACAACGTGTTTTCGCTATAATGCGGTCCTTCTATTGGAACACTTTTCACAATGCGGAACATGGCCCGTCATAACGCCGATCACGCCTGTTATAACGCGGTTTACAACTAACTACTGTGTTGAGCTGCGCAGCTGAGTGGTATACTACAGTACGTGGAATGATACAGTACGTGCCAGCGTACCCTCATTTCAGATGCTTGTCTTAACAGTTCTTCATGCTTTCGGAGTCCCTGATTCTGCTTACAATCATTAAGGACCTTCATGATGGTGGGCAGGCCCGGATAAAACTACCTTGGGGTGTGACAGGGACTGCCCTCTGGCTCCCACATTATTTAACATTTTTAGACCACGTAGTTCGTGAAGCTGCCTATGGCTGTACTGGAGGAATCTCCATTAGGTACAGATACAATGGGAGGCTGATCGATGCCTGGATGCGATCAAGGGATGACTCCCTATTGGTCAACCATCTTATGTATGCTGATGATTTGGTGATTGCTGCTCACTCAGAGGATGAGATGGAGGCGCTGCTGCTGAACCTGGAGCATGCCACTAAGATGGAGCCTTACAATCAGTCCCACCAAAATTAAGTAACTGCCTGGGTATTTTGTGCCATCAAACACTCCACTCCCTTAACTCCCCCATTGGTGATGGGGCAGTTGTGGAGAGTTTTCCATAACTGGGCAGTGTACTTATGACCAGCTTCAATTTGACAGCAGAGGTCTCACTCCGAATCAGTCAAGTGGCGGTATCTTTTCATCGGCTGTGTAGCGCTGTGTGGAAGCTACCCGGTTTATCGCTCCACATTAAGCTTCGGGTCTTCTCAGCCACGGTCATGCCGCCCTCCCTTCTCTATGCTTTGCGAAACATGGACCCCCCGAACGGAACATCTTCGTCAGTTAGAAACATTTAGGCTGGCCTGCCTACGATCATCCTGGGTTTAACCTGGCTGGATTGTGTGAGGAAGCTCACAAATCCTTGAAAGATCTTGACAAAGTCCTATCGGTGAGGTCCTCCGGCATGCAAGGCTGCGTTGGCTAGGTCATGTAGCCTGCATGCCCATCCAATGCATGCCTTAACAGCTTTTGTTCGGCCGGATAGAGGGGGCTAAACAGGCATGGCACAGGCTAGAGAGGAGATGGAGTGATGTGGTATGAGAGGACATGGAGCTGAGTGGACTTGCCAATGACTGGTACCAGCGATGTCAATATCGGCCTCTGTGAAGGAGGCTCGTGAAGGACGGTACTGGGCAGTTGGAGGTAGTCGCCCTCCAACAACAACGGAGGGCAGACGAGTGACGCTCGCAACAATGAGCGGAGTGCCGGGCGGCTAAAACAAGGAAGTTGGCACAGGTGGCGCATCGGCCAGTCATCTCAGTCATTCAACCAATCGCACCTGGGTCTGTCCCGTGACTTCCTGCTAGCGGGCGTTTGGCACTTCACGTGGCCTTAAAGTGCATTTGGCCTTGCACAGGCGCCTTGGTGACATCACCGCCACTTCGTGGCAAATGGCGATTATTGCTGTTGCTGACTATAGGATAATTTTACAGTACAAACGTGATTCAGATAACGCATTTTTCGCTTTTAATGCGAAACTGTTCAGGAACGTATATACTCCCGAGTTAAGTGAGGGATTGCTGTACTTAATGAGAATCATGCCTCCGACATCATGCAATAGGCAACGTCACTTTCTTCTGTCAGATTGATGCTCGCAGTGACAGGACTGGAGAGGTGGTCTTCAAGGATAATTTCTCGTCCTCGGTTGCTGGGATTGTGGAAGGGGATTACCGCATGGATGGCAAGACGCAGCTCATTTGCTGTTCTGTTGACGGAGAAGGTAATCTTCGGCTCTGCCTGCATTTCTTTCCCTTGAGACTCTGCTCAATCCTGGGGTATTGTTCAGGTTTTGTTCTCTATATTATTCACATGTTTACAGCTGCTTTTAGAGCAATGTGTGTACATCAGTTTATTAATGATTTTCCAGGGATACCTTTCTCATTCTTTCATGACTTCATGTGTCAGTTATATGTAAACATACATTAAGCACTTGTTATTTATATGGTACTTTAAAAAATACAATTTTAACACTTATTGGTAATATAATACCACCACAGAATAACATTTTGTGTTTTTGTAAGCTTATACTCATTTTATACATATATTTACCATATATAATTTCCCACATCTGTATTGAAAGTTGAATGTCGATTCAGGATGTCGTCTCTCAGCCATAGGTTTGAGCGGCTGGGAAGACACCGATGAGCACGTCGCGAATGAATGAATTCCGCGTGCGGTGTGCGCAGTGCGTGGATACCTCCCCTCGAGCCGCGAGGTGAGAGGCAGCCTCATGGACTCCAACACCGAGCAGGACCTGCTGCGAGAGCTGAGTCAGCGTAAGCAGAATCTGCTCCTGGAGCTCAAGAACTACAGCGAGAACTCAAAGGCAAGCCTGGTGCTCTCGCCGATTTCTCTTCCGCACAGGGAGAGCGGCTGAGGGGCACGGAGGGTGGTTAAAATCGCTTGTTTTATTTTGCGTTTCTGATAACCGCGTATAAATGTCTAGCGATTAACTGAGAAATGAAGGGAGCTGTCACAGTGGTGCATCATGGGTTAGCAGCAGCACACTGGACTTTCAATCCAGAGGTCGACGATTCGATTCCATCTCCTAAAGTGGAAGTTGAAACAATGGGACAAGTATTTTTGAATTGCTCCACCACTCACCGCCTCTTATCCACCCAGCAGTGTAAAATGGCAAGGTCCCATATGGTGGTGCAAAATGTGGGTACTATCTAATACGTGGCTTACTGGTAAAATAACACATACACAAATACAAACATAACTTTTTCTACAAATGTAAGCTTGCAAAAGCATGAACTAAAAGTGCAAAGAGCTAAGCTTGCTTTGCTCTAATTAATGTACAGCATATGTATTCTTATTAAGTGCCGTGACCAGCTTGGTTACTGCTGTAATTGTTCCCGTACGTGTTCTCTGTGTGTGAAGGTTGGTCAGAATGCGAATGCAGGGGATGTGGAGAGTCAGGCTGGGGCCATCCCTGCCAACACCCAGCTGCAGACCTCGCTGACAGTCAACCCAGGCAGCAAGACGCTGCCACCACATGTGGAGCTGGCCATCTCCACCTCAAATAGTGAGCACTCGAGAGCATGGCTGTGACTGCTGCTGCTACTAATATTGTTACGCTTTGGATGCCATGTTGGCGAGATATTAACTACCTCACCTGGTATACAGGAGGTCATGGTTTTGATATTTAGGGTTAAACCCCCGATATAATAACGTTATTTTATATGTATTTATGTTGAACTTCTTTTTCACCGTACGTAGCCAACCGTGCTTATCAGAGGTGCGGGGGAAGGACAAAAAACTTAACTGATAGAGCATCACTGCTGCAAATTTCATTTAAATACTCTGAACATTGCGAACCACATTTTGTTGAAGACTGCTGTTGCTAAAGTTTGTTGTGGTCATGATTGTCAGTTTATACCTGTCAAGTGTCTGTGACAAGCCTCTTAAACGTTTATTATTTTCTCTTATGATGCCAATTTTGTTTTGAAATACCTCGGTAAATGTTGTTTTCTGTTTAGGTGTTCATGCATTCTGTGTACAAACTAAACTCTCGTATGAAAAGTCAGGTATATTTATAGACAGCAATATTGTTGGTTTATTAAGATAATCCACACTGTATTTACTGCAGTAAAGTTGTTGCTGCGCATTTAAACTCTCCTATATAGTTATGATAAAAATGGCCATAAAACCACTGTGTGTGTGTGTGTGTTGGGCGGTAATACAGACACAGTGATCCGGGCAGTGCTTATATTTGCTGAAGGCATCTTTGAGGGCGAGAGCCACGTAGTGCATCCCAGCGTCAACAACCTCAGCAGCCACATGCGGGTTCCCATGATCCCACCCAAGGATGTGCCCGTGGACCTGCACATCAAGGCTCTTGTTGGGCACAAGACCAGGTGAGGGTGTCCAGCCGTCACTGCAACCAGAGCCACGTTCACGAGGCTGCTCTGCTGTGCTAGAAATCGGCAACCACAACATGTGGTTTTCACATCGAGCTCTTGTGCAATCAGTCATAATGTATGCATTGTCATTGTCAGTTTCTTTGAGGATCGTCAACATGTATTTTATATCATTGGCACTGCCCACGATGCCCTTTTGCCATTAATACCACACACTTACAATTATTCCCTGGTGCTGTGCCTCGCAGTATGCAGTTCCACGTGTTTGAGCTGACCCGACAGCTACCTCGCTTCTCTATGTACGCAATGTGCAGTCCTGACAAGGTGCCTGACCCTCAGAGCTATGTCAGCTTCTCTGTCAACGATCGCATACAGCGGGTAAGAGCTCGGCACACACTGACCATCTTACCTTGGTTCTTGCCTTCATTACCGGACGCTCAGAGCATTCCAATGCACTTTTATAGTGCACTTTTGAATCTTAATTGAAAACTCATTTCTTTGGAACTGCTTTTTGTGTTTAATTTGTTTTTCTTCCCTCGCACCTCCGATTAACACGGTTGGCAACGTATGGTGCGAATAAAGTTCAGCATACATACATATATTCGAATGCCTGTCTCGACAACAGGCCTTCCCGCTTTTCTCCGCACTCAGACCGATCTGTCTTCTCTTCCAAAGTGGCTTACATAGCCCATGAAATAATCTGGCCTCTTGACCTCCTTCTCACAGCCCCTGCATTATGGACATTACTGGCTAAGTACACAAATCCTCGACCTTGTCCACCTTCTATACCCCGACCGGGACTTGCGATCGTCCAGCGAAGGCAGCTGAGGCTCTCTCTAGGCCTTCTGTCTCTTTGGAAGCCGCCAGTCCTGATTCTGAAGCCGTGTACCCAGCAAATGGGCCTCCTGTAGCAGAGTTGGAATGCGCTGCTGATGAAGCGAGCTCATGGTGGTGTGGACAATTGGGAGAGCACATAGTGACCCAAAACATTTATATTTAAACTAATTATTCTCTAATGTGAGTGCAACATAGGTGTTGTGACATCGCGGGATGTCACTGTGTAATGCCGGCCCGAGAAAGACACGGCGTGCGATGTAACGACATCGCGGACACCACTTGGATGTGGGTGCAGTACCGCCCCTAGAGGGGCTAGATGAGCGCTGACTGACAGTGCTGGATGGCACCACGCTCTGCGTGCAGTGCCGGCCCCTACAGGATAGAGTGCAGGAGTGCCGGCCATGGAAATGGGGTTACTGAGGGCAATGGCACTCTGGTTGACCCTGGAGGACACATGACCGGTTAAGTCAAGACAGGGCCCCCAAGTGGGGGCTAGGGGTGGTCACGTGTCAGGGTCGAGATCCTGCTCGAGAAATTCTAGAAGGTGATTGTGACTAAGGGCGGAGCCAGTCACACCATAGAGGATATAAGCCGGGTCCCCCTGAGGGACCGGCTGCTGCTGTTCATCCTGAAGAAACCTTCGTCAACATTCTAAGTCCTACAAGAGTCTCCAACACGTGGACCTGGACCCAAGCTGTGGTCTGGTCCGTTGTAGCTAGTTACATTGTAATTAGTGTAGTTGGCCTGGTGGTCACCACCATAGGTTGTTATCCCGTTAACCCGAGTGTTGGTGTTAATAAATGTGTTGCCTCCAAAAGTATGTCTGCGACTCAGTTGAACCCGCTACATAGGTATAACACATGGTTTAAAATACTACAGCTAAACGTTTGAAATTGTTGAACGCAACTACTATTTGTTTTGCAAATGTGCGGAATATAATTGTCGCCATATTTAACGTCTTGCATGCATCTCTGTAATACTCTGGCAGGTTATCCTGTGGCTGAATCAGAATTTCCTGCTAACGGAAGAGTGTGAATGCTGAGAGCAGCTTCCTGCACGTAGCGTTCGAGTCGCAGCGTGGGAATGGTCCTCTCGTTATCACCATGAAGCCCAGTGGAGAGGTATGAATTGCACAGCAGATCCTGATCACTGTCACTGGGTTTATACAAATCATAAGAAAGTTCTAAACAGCAATGTGGCCTTGTGTTTAATGTGCCATTGTTTGGAATTCCACATTCCTATCGGATTCTCAAGGACAAGAAGTCAGATGGTGCAGTAGCAATAACCAGAATGGCCTGGATTCGATTCCTGACTCGAGAGCTTTTCTGTGTGAAGTGTGTATGTTTCTCCCCCTGTTCTGCATGTGTTTGCTCCAAGTTCTCCCATAGCTAGTTAAAAACATACCATGTAACTGGTGTTGGCCAAACATCCCAATGCTGTAGAACTGTCTGCAAAATACTCAATTGTAATTACACACAGCAGCAACATCACTCCTAAAAAAGAGTCTTGAGACTCTGTGAGGCATTCTTGGGTAAGTTAGCATAATAATACTGTAGTGACTGAATTTGCCTAGATTTAACGCAATTTTTTTTGTACAATATAAAATGGTGCAGAAACCATTGCACGGTAACAACTTTCGATGATAATTGCCTTAAATTTCTACATCGCCTTTACCTCCTAAACATATGTGATGTTTCCCCTGGCAGGTGTTGATCTACACGGATGATATGGACCTTGCAGGAGACATCGTACAATCACTCGTGGCTTTCCTGGCAATAGAGGACCTGCAAGTAGAGGCACACTTCCCTGCTGAAATGGAGGAGCTGAGACTCACCCTCATCAAGGTACGTTTGCTGTCAAAGCCCCACATTTTGTGTTGGTTTGTAGCGGTGAGTGGTTCGATTAAAATTATTTGATAAAAAAAAACAAGCACAATCTACGTATGTATGCATATATGTTAAACTTATTTTGCACCGTACGTAGCCAACCATGCTAATCAGAGGGTCAGGGGGACGACAGGAAACTAAAGACAAAAAGCAGTTTTAAAGAAATTAGTTATCAATCTAGTTTTAAAATTGTATAGCGGCAGTGACCATCTTTGTCCCATGGCTAGCCAAAAGCCGCTGCGATGATGACCGGAGTTCGCTTGGTGATTTGTAACTGGTATCAGTAAAACCATCCAAATTCTGAAAAAATACTGGCAAATTCCTTAATTGCCATTACATGCAGCAGTAATTGCCCCCTAACAAACAGACTGTGTCTGTGAAGCATAGCACCTTCGGGATAGCCCTGCGCTATAAGAATGGTATAAATACTAAATGTACTCGGTTATTCATCTGAGCTCAGTCGCCTGGTCACCCTTTGAGTGGTATAAGTGAATACCGCTTCCGCTGCTGCTGTTGTTGTTGTTGCCGACCTTCGTAGGTGGACGAGTTTCACTCAGTGCACCAGAAGCTGACTGCAGAGATGGCTGACCACTCGAACATGGTGCGCAGCATGCTTGTCAGTGCCGAGGATTCTCGGCTCATGGGCGACATGTAAGCACACACCTGTTAACACATGCAAGACCTATGAATTCGCATCACAGAGTAGCCAAGCAGACTCAGCTTGCTGGAATGCTTGGCGCTGGGAACAGTATAGTGTATAGCATTCCGTCATTATTCACGAACCTTGCTATTCACGATTTTGGCGATCCGCGAATCGCATCTGGAACTCTACGTCTATTATTTCGGAGCGTTAACGACATCACAACGATCATCATCGTCATTGTCGTCAGCATCGTCATTGCATCGTCATTGCATCCTTGTACTGCGCAGCATCATCATGTACGTTAATTTATAAACGACTAGCTTTACTACTCGGCTTTGCCCAAGACTTGGATTCTTGTCTTGGATTAATACACAGCCTACGCAGAGGGTGGGGGGGGATGCGTGACGTCAGCAGGCACATTGCGGGATGCTGCCGCATGCGGGTGACATCACAGATGTGACGTCACCACTCACTTGCTGTGCAAAATATATCCATTATTGCGCCCCCCCCCCTCCAAAATACAAAGGTCTATTTTTATACTTTTTGCATTGTGTGTAGTCTGGAAGCTGCCCATATGCCAAATTACAAGTTTGTTGCATATATAGATTATTTCATACTTCAATATTTATTTGTATTTACTTTGTTTATTATAACAAAATTTGTTTTGTTATAATTGTCATGTATTTAATAGCTTATTGATGTATTTATTTGCTATTCATGAACATTTCTGGAACGTATCCCTCGCGAATAACGAGGGAATACTGTATTACATTGATGTGTTTTTATTATTGTTAAGACGCTTGTTATCCCTCACTGAGTCCCAAGACTCTTTTACAGGAGGGTCCTGTCAAGTGTTTGCAGGAGGCGGGTGATATTGCTGCTGCTGTATGTAATCCTAAATTAGTGATTTGTTCTTTTTAGCATTGGGATGTTTGGCCAATACCAGTTACATTGTGTATATTTAGCTTATGAGGAAACCAGAAAAAGAAACCCAGAGGAAACCCATGCAGAACAGGGGGAGAATTTAAAATCTCCACGCAGTAAGAGTTGGGAATCGAACACAGGCCATTCTTGCTGTGAGGCACAATTGTCACCACTGCACCAGCATGATGCCTAGTATGAAGCTAGTTTCAGTATTGAAAACGATCATTTTGGTTAAACTGTCAATTCAAGTGTTGTGATACTCGTTGTCTTTGCTTGAAGGACACGTGTGTACGTTTAATACCCACGCCTTTGTTGATTTCCAGAAAAAATATGAAAAAAGGCTACACACAACTCTTTAATTTAAACAAAGATCTTATAAATGGTTACAAGATTCGCTGCAACAATCACAACGAGCTACTCGGCTGTTTACGGACAGTCAACCAAACTATCCAGAAAGCTGGACGACTCCGAGGTAAGAGCTTCTAATCATTCATCAATATATAAGACATCAGGTCGGGATTGAATCCACATCCTCTTCCAGGCGAGGTAGTTAACATCTAGCCACCAAGGCGTATACAGTTAACGTTCGTCCCGTTGAACCGGCAACATTAGACAAGGTGCTTCAGTCATTCTGGGTAAGCTCATTAACAGGTCGACCCAGTACCGTTTTTCTTTTCATATAAAATTATCCTTCATGAAATTTTGCAGACCCTATAACTACCTTGTGCACGGTGTGCTCATAGAATTACTATTTGCTTTGACAATAGTAGTGTTTGGAGTTTTAATCCTGCCACAAGCTTGTTCGAGTCATTAGTTACTTGGTTATAAATTACCATGCAACTCCCCTTACCCATATACCTGTTTTTCACTGTTCCCATCATGTATCCATGTAACTAAATCTGCAAATGCTATCTGTAAAATTATTCAATGGATACATATTGTGCAATGCTCTCACAATCGTATATTTCCTTACTCTAAGCTGGGAAGAATGGCCACTGTGCAAAACAAGAGTTTATATATTTTTTAATTAGAAATGTTAATCAATGTGGTGGGAGTATTTTCATTCTATGTGACTGTTTTTTCTTCGCAGCGGGAAAACCAAAGATGTTGGTGATATCTGCCTGCCGTGAAGCTATCAAAACGAACAATGTGAATGCATTGTTTAAAATAATACGAGCGGGGACAGCCACCAGCTAGAGCCGCAGCACTGGCTTCTTCAATGACAACCGAATCGGCAATAGCTTTAGCGTGAACAGATACCACTATTGACAGCACGTTTTACGATTCAAACATGGTATATCGTTAATTTACAATTATTACTTTTAAACCTATTCAGATACGTTATGGCATTATATAGAGTATTCTAATGCAGGACTTTTAGAACTTGTTATATTTTCAGACAGATTGACCTCTGATTAACAAGGTTGGCTACGTATGGTGGAAAATAAGTTCAAAATTCATACATATTCACAGCCTGTCTTCACCCATTCAAGGCCATTTATGTAAGTCCCTACCAAGTAGCCAAACTAGGTGACCATGATGCTGCAGATAGTGGTGTTAATTTATTCAAAACTTAATATACATCAAGCGCTCGTGTATTTGAGACCGCATGAGAGCAGCATGCACCACTTCCTATTTGATGCTCTACGATCTCGCTCAATCTCAACTATGAGGTGTGGACATTGCAATGCTGCCTTATTGTGGGGAAATGGTCAGAGCCCCAGTCGATTCTCAGGGTTTATGAATATCTACTTCAGCATAAGTTCTAAAACATTTTCCAGTTAAAAGTGCAGCTGCTAGGAAGGATGCTTTTGAGCATCAAATGGACTTGCCATGCCAAACAGACATGGCCTGATCAACAAGTTGCCAGCTTGTGCAGATTACAACCCCCAGAATAACGCAATGTTCGCACTACAGTCACTGACTGCTCTGAATGGTCTCACTTTTGTCCCCTCGCATGGATGGGTTTACTTCCACATTGGCTGAGAAAAAACTTCAGACTGCACTGTGGTTCCTCGTCGCACCTCACTCCGAATGAGCGTACGCCGTGGGGTGCATTACAAGTTGAAATTATTACTTTCAAAGGCAGCATCATGGTCCAAACGTGTGATGTGCCAGGGTCACAATTAACTGTTGTAAAGGGGTTGTTGGCATCAGACGTGTATGGTCTTGTTCACTCGGGAGTTCATTGAAGTTATGGCACCAGCAATTAATTCAAAGATAGTTTAATGTTGTACAGTCATTTTGAAACCGTAACGGTTGTGCTATTTTTTTTATAGATCACCACATATATGGCTCGTTGCATTGTTGGAAACGTTTCTGTGACAGTGCAGGAACAATATTTTTTATCCCTGATGTAATGTTATTTTCTGGGGCATTAGCAATATTGTAATTACTGTTGTCAAGTCAATTTTATGTTTGCTTAAACACGTGGCACATTTTCTGGCACATCTGCCACCCAAAGCGCCATGACATTAATACTCGTTAACATAAAAATAGACATTCTATGTGCAGTCAACAGAATGTGTCATGTTACAAAACTGAAATTTGGAAGTTTTTTAGTTTACCCAACTGAATGTAATAAGCTTTTATTTCATTCGTGTTTAAGAACATATTGAAAATATTAAATTAGCAGCAAACCCGTGTGAACGTGTCAGAAACAAAACACAATGCGTGCCTGATGACTTGTGCCCTGGACGAGCCTCGAGTCAATCATCCTGGGGTGCCGTGGTGGGGAGATGTTGTCAACTACCTTGCCTGGTATGCAAATCATAAACCCCGACGCCTGTGTTTGGAGTTTGCATGTTCTCCCTGTGGTCACGTGCACCATGGGTTATGGAAGGGTTAGGGGTTCCTGAGAACGATCCGTAACCCAAATTTTCTGTATGTCGGAAACTGAACAATTTTCCCCCAAAATCAAGATGAAATCCCATCGCCGAAAACAGTTGTGCCTCCCCTACCCAATTACTAGTTCGTTTTATCTCTTGCATCGCGCTGTCGTCCGTTTTCAATCACTACCTGTATCGCATCGCTGTGCATACCCTCTGCACTTCCTAGGATTCATTTAATCGAATATCTACCCCAACACTACCCATAATTAAACTAATGGAACATATACTGTATCCAATTGTTTCTAAATACCACGAAACATTTTTTTTATACTGTTAACAGAAAGCAGTCACTTCCGAATGCCCGTTTACCGTGCATTAGGCTAGGCCTAGACTTCTCTGATCGCTGTTAGCTAAGACCATAAGCAATCGAAGTATAATTGTGTTAAATAAGGTACATACAGTAAATAACTCGTGAAATAAACTTAAAATGAAGAAAATTAGCAATACAAACATGGGGAAAAGATGGTTGTAAGCATATAAAACAATTACATAATGCTACAAAACATTCCATTTACCTCGGGGCTCAGTGAAAGCTGCGCACTTTGGTGTAAATTGCTCCGGAATTCATCTGCAACCTCACCGCCCTGCACTATTTGCGCTTAAGAAACGCGAAAAATTCCACATGTTGATTTTTTTTTTTTACATAATTTATGTAAGGTCGGATTTCCATCGGGGACTTACTGTATAACTCAGTGGGCTCTATCTTACCTGGTAAAATAAAAAGTTTACTTTAATGTTTAAACCTTAATTCATACAAACTAAATGGCTGGTTGCTTACATAAACATTTTCTGAGAATAGATGCATTTAATCTTTATCCAAGTCACCAGTAATAATTATACAAGGAGTTTAAGGTGCTATTTAACAAATGTTACAGTTTTAACCAAGTGTTTGAAAAAATTCAAAAATTATTTTACCATACTAAAACTACAAATCAAATGCTGATTTAAAGTCCAAATACAGAAAAGTAATATTAATAATACTTTTTCTCTGAACAGTTTAAAACAAAAATTAGGAAGCCACAGCACACATCCCAAACAGAGCCTTTGCTTTAAAGGCACATACTGAGATTCTCAATACACATTTTTATACAGTAAAATAACTGAAGCGTGGCAATTGTAAATTAACTGATGTTTCAATATTTGCTTTATTTAGCTATGTACTTTGTTACAAATTAATTATTTGTCCAATAAAAAGTTGTTCATTTTAGACAGATTTTTTCTTAAAATGTGATGCACGGTGAATTTACATTATCTCCACAAAATTTCTCCAGAGACATTATTTCCCCCCCTACCCCAGTCATCAGCAACACTTCACCCCAAACCCAATACACAGCAGCATCCCCGTGTCAAACAGAAATAATAAGCACTTGTTTCTTGGGACATTGCACAAAGACTGGCGGAGGCTCGATCAGTTTTCACTGCAGGTGTTCTCGGAGTCCGTGCCGAGGCAGGACGGCCGCACGTAGCTGAGCAGGGCGTAGGGTGAGCTGCGGTCTTCGTCCAGCAGAGTGGACACGGTTTCCTTCCAATAGCTGAAGTTTATGCAGGAGCTCTGCACAGGCACACGCATCAAATCTATATGAACAAACGAAGCAGATACCAATCAAGGATGTTGACTGTGAGGGACCCAAAACTTGGGTAACTGGGTTCTCATAGCAATTTGTTGACCACTGCACTACCTCTCCACTCACCCACCAACTCACACATCGATGCATTTATATAACCGCTCATTCACACTCTCGTTCAACACGTGGCTTGTCGACTTAATGAGGGCATACGTTCTCGAGGGAGGTGCTGTCCTTGTCTTTGTTCAGGTAGTGCGTCTGCCAGAACTGCAGCAGAGAGTGGAAGTTGGTGAGCACGTGGCCTGGCTTGTTGTCAGCCAGCTCCTTCTCCCGCAGCGCGTTCAGGTAGATGGGCAGCCCCCCTCGCCGCAGGGCTAGCATCAGGAACACGAGGCTCGTGTTCAGGCAGCTCACGTTCTCCTGCAGCCAAAACCGTAACAGGGTGTTAAAACTCACTGGAGTTTTGTTTCTACACGAGGCTGATGACACCACATTTTGTTACACAACGTCACAGGAGCCTCTGCAGTGGCATGAGTTTTTTCGAAGTGGAAAAATATTATTCTACTAATTATCCAGAAAAGCCTTCACCGAGTGTCACATTTTCATGAGGCTGTGCCAGGTTTTCAAAGTAGGGGGGGGTAATATTGTTACGTGTAATACCAATTGAGCAATTTGCAGATTACTTTTCAGCATTGGCATGTTTTCGTCAACACCAGTTTCGTTAAATATATTAGCGATGAGAGGAAATTGGAGAACTCTGAGGAAACTCAATCAGAAGATTCAAGAGCTGAATGGCTCACAGGGCTATACCTAATAAATGAACTTGAAGAACAAGAATTCAGAGATGGTATCTATATATACACAGTAAAAGGGAAAAAAGGGAAGAGGTGGAGAACATACAAACTGAGCAGTGCGGGAATTGCACATTGCTAAGGTGGGGGAAAGTCTATCCATAGACAACCACGATTGACTTCCCCACAAAGTAGTACAGCAGTCCCTCGGTTAACAGTTTAATCTGTTCCACGAAAACTACTGTTAACTGAAATAACTGTTAATCGAATATAGAAAGCATAATGTAAACAAAGCCAGTCAAGGTCTAAATGCTCGTAAATGGGCGTCGCTGATTGGCTAGGGCATGCTCAGCCCACTGACAAGCGCTCGGACTGGCATGCATAGCGTAAACATACCGTTCATCAAAATGTTTACGTTCATTGAAACCATGGCGTCCTATGGGAGGCGGAATGTTAACCGATGTCACTTAACCAAGAAACTACTGTACTAATATCGACCTTGGAGGGACTATGGGCTGAGCCAACCCCCAACTAGGATTTAAACTCACAACTTACCCGTTGCAAGATGCTTACTCTACTGCTGGGCCAACTACCAGGCGCATTGCTTGCAATTGTCAAATACTTTTAAGTGCAAATGCAACGCTTCTGTTGAGCGCTCATACCTGAGTGAGTGTCTCCACCTGGACAATGCTGATGAGGCGCATCAGGATGGTGAGCTGGTTCTCCACGCTCGCCATGTACGTCAGCAGACGGCACTGCAGCATCACCTCCGCGACTGAAGAGAGATATACGCGGGGGGGGGGGGGGGTGGGCATTAATCACACAGCTGATGACACCGATTTAACCCGCGTGAATTTTGGCTGTAACACGAGGCTCTGGGTGTGCACTGCCATGGCTCCGTGGGTGTGCACTGCCATAGGCTCCGTGGGTGTGCACTGCCATAGGCTCTGTACCGGTGGAGTCGTCGGTCTGAGAGAAGCGTTCCAGCGACAGCACGATGCAGCGGATGAACATGTTTGAGTCCACCAGAGAGCTGTTGATCTGCACCAAGAATTTCTGAAACTGCAGCACATCAACCAACACGGGTCACATTTCATTATTCATTAGGATAAAGCCTGTTGACTTTAGACATGGAATTAACATAATTGACCTAGGCCGGAGTGCATTAAAAAAAACACTTAAATAAAAAAATTCCTTAGTTTCCTATGTAAATGCGAATTTAGGTAAATCTTGTGTTCGGTTTATGCAACCAGGCACTGGGATGTATATGGAGGTACCTGTTACTGTTATTTTTAAAATTAAACCAGGGTAAAAGACTGATTCTCATTCGAATTATTTGATGCACGTATTACAAATTGATGCACCATTAGAGTTGCGTCAGTTTACCTTTTCTTCAGTGTCTACGCATGTGTCAAACATCTTGAAGGCTTTGACGTTGAACTTCATGAGCTCTCCGAGCAAATCGAAGTTGCTCTGCAAGATGTCCCTGGATGTGCTTTCGCTGTCGATGATGCAGGACAGGATGTGCTGTGGGAGAGGGAAACAGTGAAGTAGGATCCTGACAGTATGGAATGCGTTGCATTCTGTGGGAAACTGATAACATTACCATTCATAAACTACCATTGTGTATGCAAGGCTGATGAGACAACCTCAACACCGGTTCAGAGTTTGTAAGCATTAAACTAATGTAATTGAAAAATATAACTTTTAGAATACCATGTGGCTGATAGGATGTGTAAGAAAAATTGCTTTAATTTTGTGCAGAGATATATGGGAATGTAAATATATGGGTAAAGTGTAGGTAGAGGCACGTACCTCTAATAACCCTCGTCTGAGAAGGAATATCTGATCAACATATGAGGTAGTACCACGTAGGAAGCTCTCAACTGCCCTTGCTAACCAAAATCTGAAAGAAAAAAAACGTCAAACATCAGAGACAGAGCCAAAGATGCAGCACAACACACGGGTGAGTTTCTCACTTTTACTTTTCTCACTTTTATTTAAAGTCGGGTGATAATCAAGCTATGACGTGCACATTGTAATGTTGACAAGTGAAAATGTCACAATGAAGTCAACATGAATCCCAAATGCACCGCAAAGTGACCCCCAACAAACCTGAACGAAGACTCGGGGGGCTCCTCCTTCATGACCTCGATGAGCTTGGAGAGGAGCCCTTTATCCCCTAGACACACCAGCCTCCTGGAATGCAGTGCGAGTGTCAAAATGGCAATCCAGCCAATCAACGAGCGTTCACAATATCAATGAAAATTCCTCCCGGCTGCTCTAACAGCCCATTCCACTGTCCATCAAGGTCGCCTAAAATTACAGGCAGCACGTTACACAACTCTTAAAAAGTACCACTTGTGAAAACCTGTATGCCGGACCACAATCATGCGTGTCCAAGAATTATGAAAATACATAACCACATATATTGTATGACGCAGCGGCAGTGTTTGGACACTGAAGGGCAGTATCATCAGCAGGACGACATCTCTGCTGTGGATACAGGTGGCCACGGACCAATGTGGGGTGATCCGTCAGTCATCGCATGGATAGCCACTTCATATCACCATAGCAACAGTTTGCCCCCATGTGTTGGAAGATACCCAGGGGGCACACGCATTGTCCACGACAACAAGTAGGCTTCACCGCAGGGGAAGTTCCAACCACAATGACTCGCACGGGAAATGATTCACGTCTTGTTGTGAAAGACAGTACCCAGATATGAAAAGGTATTCCTGTTTGTAATACTGCAGAAACACCTATTTTTCTAAGCATACATTTTGCAGGGGGAAAGCCACAAAAATGAGTTAACTAAATATTATTTTGTTCGTTTAAACAAAGTGCAATATTCAACTCTAATAACATGGTAAAAATATTGCTGTGCCATCTCAACTGAGTAATTTGCAGGCAATTCTTCAAATTTGGCAACTTTGGACCATGACACCAGCACACAATGGCCTGCACTTTTCGAATGACGTGCACTGTGGAGCAGGCGGCACGAAGTATTTCACGGTCAACACTCCCACAGCATTAACCAGGATCACCCACCAGACTCGAACCGAATCTCTGCAACAAGTGGCAACCGTGCTACACCTGGACCACATCACTGCCTAACGATACCGAGTTTTGTTTATGAGCTAATGCAGGGTTCGGAAAATGTGCGACTCCGGAGCCACGTTGCCGCTCCTTCAGGGACTGCTTCGTGACGTTATTTATTAAGGACCACCGGGGTCTCGTATTCACATGCATTGTGGCTCTTGAAATATTGAGGGTTTTTTTACCGAATTCTAAATAAATGGCTCTTGTTGCTATTTTGGTTGCCGACCCCTAAACTAGGGGGATGGCGGCACTTGCTGGTATCCTGACCGTGTGTCGTTACCTGTTTGTGTTGACCACCGCTTTGGTTTCTGAGACTTTGGCTTCGAGCGCAATGGCACCGAGCTCCATCAGCTCCAGTCTATTCAGAAGTAAATACTTATTCCTGCAACAAAAAACACAATATATGATCAGGCAATCATTCCCAATTTCATTTCGTATGTGTGTTGAACTTCTTTCGCACCGTACGTAGCCAACCGTGCTAATCGGAGGTGCAGGGAAACGACAACAAACTAAACACAAAATGCAGTTCCAAAGAAATTAGTTTTCAATCTAGATTTAAAAGCACATAGCTCCAGTGGCTTCCTAATATCGGAAAATGTCATAATTTGTATACACATATAGGTAGTTTAGCATGATAAATTATCACATTTTTGAGTCTGTTCCTACACAAAACATTTCGGATTTCAACCAGGATAAATAAAGATTCCGATTCTTATTTCATGCAAGAATACGTTATTTCTCACAGGTTAAGGTTGCCTAACGTGAACATGAAACAATTTTAGTGAAGTGCAATGCGTGTAGGTACTCGTGATGGTCGCTGAAGCTGTGCAGGAGCCTCAAGAATTGGATCTTCAGAGCCACGTCCTGCAAAGGACATTAAGAGGGTGATTGGTTGATACTGGCAATAATAATCCGTGAAAAAACCCCTTAAGACTCAGCGAAAAACCCCAGGGTAAAACAAGTGTAATAATAAGAGGGTCCTAGTCTATCCAGAGGGAGGCAAACAGAACGATAATTATGGTTCACGTATTCACCGATTACTGCTCTCAGTGCTTCACTCACTGGGCTGCAGTCGCAGTTCTGGTTAGGGCTGTGCAGCCGGTGGTTGTGCGAGCGGTTTTTCCAGATGAGCTTCTCGAAGAGATCATTCAGGCCAGGAATCAAGCGGAACTCTGCCAGCAGCTTGTGTACCTTCACAACAAAGACACAGCCTCACATTCTCCTAAAGCAGCCTTAACAACAGTGTTATCATGTGACCCTGATTTTATTCAGAGACGAATTCTGTTTCCCTACTCTGAACACACAGATAACATTTTTAATCATTAAACCCTGAAACTGAATCAATCCTTAAAACTCGCATAATGATTAAACAATGGTATTACTCTGCATTATTTCTCCCAGCCCTGTACGTGAAAAATAATGGGGCAAGGTTCTTAAATCCCCCCCACCCAGCAGTAGGAATGAGTATACCACAGTCGGTGGGGTAAAGTGGCTATGCCCACCTCTTGCAAGGGAGGGAGGGAGGGGGCCCCGGGGGGCCGTGGGTAGTACCTCGTCGCGGTGCTTTCCCGTCAGCAGCACGCACAGCAGGTAGAGCACCTCCACCTTGTACACCTCGTGCATGGTGAGCGGGAGCTGGTCAATTATAGGGTGGTCACTGTACTCCATATCTGACATCGCACAAGTTCACACGCACGCACTAAACTTAAAACTTTTCATTTCACCAGGTAAGGCCCACTGAGCTATATAGCGACCTGACCACAAATGACAGCCCAACAAAGTAGCTTATCATGTGGAAATTTATAGCAGCCAAATACTCTAAACGCATATTTCTAAATGTAGAGGGAAAAACTGGAGGACTCGGAGAAATATCCACATGACCACAGGGAGAGAGACATGCAAACTCCCATATAATACAGGCATCAGGGTCGGGATCGAACCCACGACCCACTCTATACCAGGTGAGGTAGTTAATGTCTCGCTGCCGCGGCGCACATGGTCAACACTCGTCCTGTTAAACCTGCAGCGTTGTCACAATTAATGCACGTGCAGCCCTTTTGCGAAACCAACAACTGGATTAGGGGACTCCCCTGCTGCGCTGGTCAATATAATGTAATTTTTTTAATATTTGACCATGTTTTACCGCACTAGTCAAAGCGGGTACTAAGCAGACATTTAGAAGAGGGAGCATAGAAGTACAGTACAATAATCGCTTTTTCTGTACTGCCCACCGCACTGCTATCCCCGCACCCCATAATGATCTGCCTCGCATGGTGGTCGCCCATCCAGTCGCTGTCCAGGCTCAAACCAGCTTAGCTTCCGAGATATGACGGGATCTAAATGCATGATTATAGAATTTAAATTCTATAATTCAAAATCTTGTTATAATCAACTGCACTTATAACAATATTTAATGTAACATTTTTAATGTCTTTAATTTCAAATAAAACTAAAAAAATTATGGGGGTCACTAATAATACAACATGGATGCCAGTATAACCATGTGTTAATAATTATGGTCATTGCCCAAAATGTCGCCTTTTTTTTTTAAAGGCACCATGTTATTGACAAATGTGTTGAGTTTAAGTATGACGAGGTTACTCGTCTGGTACGTTCAGAATCAGAATATTTATTTTATTTCAGAATCTTTATTTATCCTGGAGGAATCCGAGGAGCTATGAAGCTCTATTTCACAGATGTCCAGTAAGGGGGCGGATCAGGCAAGTTACAATGAAAGCGTTGATGAAAGTGTCACGATATAATAACAATTTACACATCTAAAGCAGCTTTCACCTGGAGATCGCAAGGCGCTGAATATTGAAAAGTGTGAGAGCCAACCACCACACGGGGTGGTGCTTTCCCTTCGCTGGGTGTGAGAACGGAGAGGCGGGTTTACCCATGCTCGTATCCAAGCCGCTCTCGTCCACGATGGACGTGGTCATGTCCAGGGCGACGGAGTTGTCCATCAGGTTGAGCCAGTGCTCGAGCTCCTGCAGGAAGACGAAAGGGCTCTGCCTCTCGGTCGACTTCTGTGTCGCGAGCTCGCACAGTCGCTTCACGATTCCCGGGATGTTCAGCAGCATTGCTGGAAGATCAATCACAATGATGCTGTTATTAAGATGCTTGTTTTATCAAGGAAAGCCTGAGCATCAAGACCATTTGTCAGGAGAGTCCCTGCCAAGTATTTACAGCTGTGAGCAATGATTGCTTTTGTATAATCTAAATTTGGTAATATGCGTGTTATTTTTGAGCAAAGGGATGTATTGACCAATACCGGTTACATTGTACTGTTTTTCTCTGTAGAAGCCAGAGAACTTAGAAGAAACCATGCATCAAAGGGGGACAACATACGAACTCCACTCAGAAAGTCACTCGAATTGGAAACACAGGCCCTTCTTGCTGTGTTACCACTGCGCCCCTCTGCTGCTAAATAGCGCACAGTGGAATTCAAATGGGGGCAGCAGCAAGTAGATATATATCCTGACCAGCTTTCCAATAAAATATGACCAGACTCACCTTGGTTCACCTCGGCCGACGTGGGGTTGCAGTGCCTGCGCAGCTGCTCGTTCTGAGCCAGCAGCGTCTGGTTCTCGTCTCCCACTGGCTCCAGCTCAGACACCATCACCGAGAGCACGCGGCAGAAGTTGGCGAACTGGTGACGGTCGAAGCGGGCGACGAGCTTCACCAGGTCAGGGATCTCCTCCAGAAGGATCATCTCCTAGACGCCACACCGGTCGGGCACAACGTGCGCAACGCCAAAGTTCACACGTCTGCCGTGTGTAGTGCGACAGTGATGCAACGTCCTAGTATCGGACCTGTAAGTGCACCGATACTTGCAATGTCTTTGTACTATTCGCCTTTCTCTGGTCTAACACTGGTGTGTCTCTGGTGTAGGACAATCAGTTTCAAAGACAATGCATTTGTTTGCATGTTTTGCCACAAGTATGTGTGGTTAATGCAAACTTGATGCCTTGCAAAAAGGTATCTATTTGGTATTTGAACATGTTATATTGCCAGAAAGGATAAAACCTATTCTTATTAGTCCCAGCACACGATTTTGCTTAGTTTGTTGTCCTTCCCCACACCTACAATTAGCACGATTGGCTACGTACGGTGCAAAATAAGTTATACATATATACATCAAGCTCGAATAAAAACGATACAAACCTGCACCAAAATTAACCCGTTTCCATATGAATTATGACATATATAAAACCTGTCACAATTGTTGTCAATATTCACCAGAATAAGCAATTAAATTGGATTTTGCAAAGCAAGAGTAAAGGGAACAGGAACCGAGAATGGGTTCTCAGCGAGGTGTTTTATCACCTTTTTAGTGCCCAGCACGTCTTCCATGAGCGAGGCTGCCTGCAGGTAGCCTCTCTTCTCTGACATCAGCGTAAAGAGATACATGACGAACTCGAGCCGCTCGGAGAGACGCTTGGCCACGCGTTCCGTCTGCAGCTCACGAGAGGGCATGGGCGCGCGAGGGCAAGGGAACATGAGGTCAGGAGCACACGAGAGGGCAGGCACACAAGAGCGCATGGGCACACGAGAGGGTATGGGCACACGCGAGGGCATGGGAACACAAGATCATGAGCACACAAGGGCAGGGGCACACAAGATCACGAGCACACAAGGGCAGGAGCACACAAGAGAGCAAAGGCACACGGGGCAGGAACAAATTGGGAGGGTATGGGCACATGCGTGAAAAATCCGTTGAGATGGAACATCTCAATTGCAAGGGTTTCCAGGGTGTCAGGTTGCCACGTGCATAGCAAACACGAATAACAAGGCCATGGATAGTAACATGGGGGAGCCCTTCATCCGGTAGAGGACTTAACACAGCCGTTGATGACCATGATAATGACAAATGCTCAAATTATATTTAAACACATTTTCACACGATTAAATTTCTTTTCATTTTTCATTCGTGTACTCCAGTGTCATAACTAATGATATTGAAATTATTCAGGGACTTAGAAGATCCCAAGTGTGCCCTGTCAAATCATACTTACACACATGCAGACATTGTGTAAAACCTCCAGCACAGCTTTGGTCAGGTGCATTTGTACTGCAACACAAAAACAAGTTCACCAGGTCACAAATCCATGATGTCATATTAACACTTACACATGTGACATGAGTGCTCACACAGGGAATACTGTATTAAACATTAAATGGCAATGCCGCTGGAAGGAAGCATCAAAATAGGCATGTTCGGGGAGGTTTTCTTTTAATATTTAAATTTGTCCCTGCATCAGCAACTTAATTTTTTCTCATGACTAGACTATAAGGTTGTGGAACCTGAAAGGTAACATGTCCATTTAAATATTACACAACAGCAGCTATATTTCTGCCAGTGACCATATCACCCAGAATAAACTAACCATTTTTTTATTCTAGATTTGAAGCTTTCGTGACTGCAAGGATTCATACTCTTAGTTCTTTCGGTAAAGTCACGTAGGTAAAAAAATAAAATTAAAAAAAATCACGACGCTTCGGAGGCAACACAAGTCTCCGTCATCAGGTGGGACCGTCACAGCCAGATTTGCTGCATCTGGCTGTGACGGTCCCACCTGATGACGGAGACTCGTGTTGCCTCCGAAACGTCGTGATTTTATTATTATTATTTTATTAATTTTAATTTCATTTTTTACCTACGTGACTTTACCGAAAGAACTCAGAGTATATATAACCATTGTTTACTTTTACCAGGTAAGGCCCACTGCGCTATGTAGTTTGTTTCAGAAGGGACCTGGCCACAAATGATAGCTCAATGAAGTGGCTTATCATGTGGACATTTATAGCAGCTAAATACTCTAATTGAAAATTTCTAAATGTGGTGAGAAAAACCAGAGGACCCGGAGAAAAATCCACGCAACCATTGGGAAAGACATGCAAACTCCAAATATTCAAGCGTCAGGGTTGGAATTGAACCCACGGCCTCTCCTGTATACTCGGCGAGGGAGTTAACATCTTGCCACCGTGGCACCCCTGAATGTGCCCAAACTGGTCAGATCTCCCAAGAAAAGCAAGATTTGATCCTGGAGAGTGATTGGATGGGTGACCTTCATGATTACAACAAGTGTTGTAGGCTGCCAGCTGTATTTGGGCAGCAGAGGGCAATGCGTGGGAAATCCATTGCTCCCACATCTATGCTCTACACCTTCACTAACCTGCACACATCGTTCTGATTTTTATGATATTAATTTTTAAAATGCCATCTCCAAGGTTTTGGGGTGAGAGATATACGAGATGAAAGATAACAGGTGTGCAAACTCATTGTCAGTACTATGGGAACCTCATTTGCCAGTAAAAATATGATAATTGGTTCTTTACCCTTCTATCTGGCAACAAAAAAAGGTGTCAATTTTGTTGCCAGATAGAAGGGTAAAGAACCAATTATCATTGTCAGTAGTCCGAGTATCAGATTCACACTCAATATTTGTCACATACACACCCCTACTCCATTAGTCGCTTATGCTGTAACTTTCGGATTATTTAAACGAAATTATTCATTAAGTCCTGACTGCAAATGAAAGTGTGTACAATTTGAGCTAATTCAGCAGTTAATTTATTTTTGCTACTCTGTGCACTGAAGTTGTAAGAATAAATAACAAGCAAATTGCCCCTCATTATAACATCACGGGATAAAATCGAGAATAGTGCACGTATTACACCGTCATGTGATTGTTTGTTAACTGCAACATTTCCATCATTATCCACAATGGATTAACACATGGCTTACTTCTAAGCTTGCTTTGGTCCTGTGGGAGTAACGTTGGTCTCATCAGGACATCCACGAGCAGCTGAGAAGTGAAATACAAGGGAGACAATAGTTTAACACGACGTGTATTTTAGACGTATGTAAACATTTTTATTTTAACACATTTATTGAATACTAGGTACACAACGAAGTCGAAATTTACATTTCACAATCTGTACTCGCACAATTGCAGTTATTAAAACTGTAGGTGGAGACCAGACTCAGCCCATCATCCCTCCAGGGTTGATAAAATAGGTCTCAATGCGACAATTCCAGTGGTGACCCTATGGAGATTGACCTCTGCTTTTGGAATGCGGAATTTCCACAACTGACTGAGGAGTGGCAAAAGGATGTGAAGCTCCCCATAAATGTTTGAGCAGCGAGACACTTAGATTTTGACTCTCCGAAGACGTTTACATCTGTAGGTGTCTGTCATCAAACCTTTATCTCTGAGCATACCATAGACGAGTTAAATGTGTCTTGACATTCGCAATACTCAGGATATTACTAGCTGTGTTGCATGCCATATGGCCTAGGCTCTACATGGTTGCATGGCACATTAACCCTCAACTCAACTTGTAGTTGTCCAGTAGAGAGAATTGGGTCACCAGCATAAGACAGGAAATTCCACCACTGGTTTTAGTGGAATATTTATATATGCAGTGTAATCTGCACTACACACGTGGGATTGTGTTTTGTTTGTAAGGTTGACTCACTAATAAAAGGCCTTGAACAACAATGAAGATACTGTTGAACGACTCTATGGGTACATACAACTATAAACAATTTTCAATTTACCAGGTAAGGCCCACTGAGCTATATAGCTCTTTTCAGAAGCGAGCTGGCCACAAATGACAGCTCAACGAAGTGGCTTATCACGTGTAAGTTTATAGCAGCCAAATACTATAAACGTACGTTTCTAAATGTGGAAAGAAAAACTGGAGGACCTGGAGATAAATCCACGCGACTACGGGGAGAACACGCACACTCCAAATATACAGTTGTCAGGGTCGGGATCAAACCCACAACCTCTTGCATACCAAGCGAGGTTGTTAACATCTTGCAAACCATAGCTTTACATACTGATGGGATCAGTGCATACGATCGCCAAATTGCACAGCAATGCTCCTCAGAAACGATTTACATTCAAAATTACGCTATTTATCACAGTGGCTGAGAACTCCAGACTTGAGTCGCTGATGAGTCTACAGCAAATACAACAATAATGTACCACGTTCATAAATGCTTAATAATAAGTAATGAGTAATTAAGTACACTTGAAATTTGCGCTCTTCTTACAGTGCAGGGCTCTCACAAACGTGCTGTTTCACAGACAGTTATAGTCTGTCAGGAGGAAGCAATGCTGCTATGTGCAATCCCAACTTTGCAGGTAATTTTTCTGCATTGGGATATTGGCCAATACAAGTTACATTGTACTGTTTGTGTAAGCTATGGGAAAAACCGGAAATCCTGGACAACAGGAGGAAGTACAAACCCTACTCAGAAAGGCACATGTGTCAGGCATCGAGAACACAGGCCCTTCTTGCTACGAGACAAAAGTGTTAACCACTGCATCGCCTGCCTCCCATGAAGTTGGCCACCAGACTTGCTGTGCAATGTTCAGATGCGACTACAATGGGATGACTTAAAGGCAAACGGTGCACTGTTAAAATGAAGGGTAACACTATGCATGATTAGTTACATATGGTGAAAAAAATTGCATAAATTTCACCACTCAACCAGCATACTCACAAATTGCATGAGCAGAGAGCACACCAAAGAGGGCAACTGCTATAAAAATGGAGCGATGAGATCCGTTCATGTGAAGGAATGAGATTTATGCTGACATTGCAGGACCGTGACAGATGGTGACAGCATTAGTTTGACAAGAGAGAGAATGGCTGATAGTGGTGGCACATACCTCCACTCCTCCAAAGAGGTCAAACACGTCGGCATTAATGAACTTTGCTGGCTGGGGCACCTGCCCATAATCGGCACTGGATTCCATCCCTTCCACAGTCATCAATGAAATGAGATCCTGTGGACAACGGACAAGTTAAAAGAATAACATGTTATGCCCTGCATTTTAATTGGGTTTCATGGAAGATATTGAACAGCCTAAATTTAGAACAGCTACATGGGAGAAAACGTGAGGACCTGGAGGGAACCCATGCAGAACAGGGGGAGAACATACACACTCCACACAGAAACGCACCCAAGCGCAGAATCAAACCCAGAACGTTCTTGCTGTGAGGCACACACGTTTTACTATTGATACACCCTGCTGCCCATAATACTTGGTAGTACATGTAGCAGCAACCCAACAAAAACATTAAAGTAAAAACACCTCAGTAGTTGTGTTCGGTCGCAAGTTAGGCTATTACCTCGGAATTACAATCATTACGGCATGGATCATTTCTGAAAGGGGTACCTGGAGGGTAGAGATGCATTCTGTGTAATTGATGTTGTGTGGTTGACTGTTGTCATAGAGACGGCGAATCGACTGGGGAATGTTATTCCACTTGGCTCGCTTGTCTCGTAACTTCAGTACTGGTTCTGGCATCTGTAATTACAGAAGAATGTATGAGACCAGGCAGTGCAATACTTGTTGAAGTGACATGCGTCAACGTACAATCAATCACAACCACCTGCTAATTTTGAGAAACTAATTATGCAACCCAGTTCAATACAGGTATGCATCGATTTATGAATGTTGGGTTTATGACATTTTTCATTAACGCAATGACAAATTATGGACACTTTTCGATGAACAAAATCAAATTTCCGCGTCGACGAAATTTCACAAGGCACACGCCATGAGATTATCAAACAAGAAACATCCGGGAGACTGCATCATCCATCCACGATAGAGTCATGGTATTTCTGCAGTGCCACAGTAACGCCTCTACATCACCTTTCCAGTTCTTTCAACATGCAGAATATCTTTTGGTTTTAAATGAATTATTATTCAACCGTTTTAATATTTACATTCTTTATTATAATTTTAATATTGTGAAAAGTGATGTGGGTGTATATTTTGAGGTTAAGAGTAGTTGGAATGACTGTCCTGAAACACATGCTTTTTTAATTCAATTAATGGGAAAAGCCATTCTGATTTACGAAATGTAGTTTCACGCGTGTTTTCTGAAGAACGCATCCCCCTTTGGTAAATCGAGGTTATGGAGGTCACCATGGTCATATAAGTTTTTTATTTTTAAAAAGTTTGTTAAATATTGGAAATTGTTGTTCAAAACCATTCGGTTAAGCACTACCAACCTTCAGCAATTGGCCCACAGAGACACACAAAGAGAGGTAAGAGAAATGGAGATACAGAGGGAGACACGGAGATATACAGAGATAGGTAAATTGAAAGATAGATTTGTCAGCAACAATCAACAACCATGGATGGAACAAAAAGGATGGAAGGGGGTTAGGGTTTGGGTCACTGATTTGTGCAGAACTGTTTTAGAGCGGCAGTATTTCACTCTGCAGCAGCCTGTTTAATATGTAGTTTTTCAATAATTGGATTACAGAAAGAAAGGTACATATATAAATGGAGAAAATATTAACCACCACAGTTTTGCTGGCAACATAATTATTACACCAAAATGGAAATAAACTATTTGAAATTCTATATTTTATTAAAGGCTGCATGCAGTGGGTTACAAATAGAGGCTAAACAAAAGTCAGGTATAAGTTTGATAAACATTTAAAGATATCTGTCAAAGAACACAACTCGAAAGTAATTTTAATTACTTTTACCTAGGGCAGTGATTGAAGGTGGACCACAATACAAATGAAGAAATCAACGAGTTGGATGAGAAGCAGGTTGCACTTTTAAAGCAAAACTCCAATTAAAAATAAAAAGGAACAAATGTGGCTAAAGAATAACGTTTTTAATGAGTATATAATCTTCTATGACAAACACATTAAGAAGAAAATGCAACAAAAACGTAAAAGTGAACAAATAAACATTTGGAGGAGGGATACATGGAATTTCACTGGGACAGAGGAACAAATGGATTACAAAAATACACAAGTTAGTAATCACTTAGCGAAGAAACATTAAATTAGACAGGCCATGTGGCTCGAATAGATGATGGTTGGTGGCTGAGACTTACAATGGAGTGGCAGAAAAAGGAGGGATTGTGCCTGAGAAGACCTCTCTCTTTATGTGAAAGTGTCCAATGGACTGTTGCATAACAAGACTGATGGCAATAAATTGTACAACCCTTTATGCAGCAGTGAATTTATCATGCATTGAGATTATTTTTATATTATTTTGCTGCTATAAATTTCCACATGATGAGCTATCATTTGTGGTCAGGTCACTTCTGAAAAATAAGTTAATGCCTCACCGGGCTTTACCTGGTAGGATAAAACATAATTTAGTTCTATTTGTATATTTTTTATTTGTTTACATTTCCTAAACTTTGCACTCTGATCGTGTTTTTGTATTGTTTGTTGTTGTAACATTCTGATCCACCCCAACTGGACATTTGTGAAAAAGAGCTTTATAGCTCATCGGATTCCTCCAGAATAAATATTGAATTTCTGAGATGCTAATCAGTTTAGTCCAATGACTGCATCTGGTCCAGGAGCTTCCCTTTGTCATCCTGTCAATCAGTGCTTACCTCTTCAGGCGTGACATCTGGAATATGACTGCATAAAATTCCTCAATCATGATTTTGTGGCTTCGTCTAGCCCTCTTACTATGAGCGATGTACCTTAAACTTCTTACTGCATTTATGTTCCAAATGCATATTATGACATCTTAAATTGTTTTGTTCTCTCATTTCTCTATTCTTCCCAATGGGTTTACAGTGTATTCTATGCTTTGATATTTTCAGCACTTGTCACATCTTTTAGCAGGTAAAGCCCGCTTATCTATATAGCTCTTTTTCAGAAGCGACCTGGCCACAAATAATAGCTCAACGAAGTGGCTTATCATATAGAAATGTATAGCAGACAAATACTCTAAATGCGTGATGTTGATTCTAAATGTGGAGGGAAAACCCGGAGGACCCAGAGAAAAATCCACGCGACCACGGGGAGAACATGCAAACTCTAAATATACAGCAGGCGTCAGGGTCTAAACGACGACCTCTTCTTATACGCTAGGCGAGGTAATTAAAATCTCGCCACCGTGTTTTCAGATGCTTTGTCCGATTTTACCATGCACTGAACTTTCAGCGTTCGGCCTCTTACAACGTTTGCTATATAGTTATAATGGTGACAATTTGCTTATCTAGGAGATACAAGCGTATTGGCCTCGACCCAGTCTGATTTCCCCCTACCTTGTCTAGATTTTACACGTAAAGTCCGGGGGCACTGTCATCTGTTTGGGTGGCAGGGACTGACATGAACTCAGACCTGGTACGGCATTTTGTTTTCATGGATTTGTTTACCGAGAAACATGTCCGGGATGGGTTTGTAGAATAAGGTGGAATCCCCTAAACCCTGCTACCTCGCGAACTCAACGTCCACCGTCAACTGCCTCATATCGTCGAGTAAACGAGCTTCGCCCTTCTCTCTGGCCACGCTTGCCCCGTCTCGACTGTGACGAGGAGAAGAACAACAACAGCAGCCTCCGTGCCTTTTAATTCTGTTTCTCTTTACTCCGTTGGGCCTCCGGCATTGCGGTCACACCGGCCATCTTACCAAGGTAAAGGGGGCCCCACTTTTACTTGCGATGTTGGGTGACGCAAAAGTCGCACTCCGCTTACTCCTCTACACGAGCGGCAGCTACCCCCCCCTCTCCCCTAGCAACATGGCCACCGGCTTAGCGCGCCGCCAAGACGTCACCCGCGTTGGCAAGGAGGGCCTCTGCCCCGTCAACCCACACCCCCCTCTCTCCACCATTCTATCCCCGGCGTTACCTGCACCACGCTGGCGAGACGCTGCTGCCCGAGCCGCTGTCGCGCCAGGCTGTGCACCACGCTGCTGCTGCTGCTGCTGCCTCTGCGCGTCTTCTCCACGTGTGAGGAGCAGCCGGGCCGCGGGGACCCGGCCCGGGCCGCGCTCCGCGCCTCCTCCGCCATTGTCGAGTGCCTGCGGGGCGGCTCCGCGTCTCGCCTGCCCGCCACCCCCCAACGCGCCGCGGGGCTGTGCGGAGGAACGAGACGACGGCCGGGGGTAGAATCCTTCCTAATGCGATGGCGACGTGCGCGGCGGGGGGTGTGTGTGTGTGTGACGACGGCGCCGAGTTTCCTCGGGAGCTAAAATATCTGCGAGCCCTCTGCCCGTCCCCTACAGCTGAGCGCGGGAAGTGACGTTGGTCGACGTGACGCTGCGACGAGGTGACGTCATAAAAACATAGGCTCCCGCGTGACGTCATAAAAACGTCCTCCTGCGTCGAGCGTGGAATGACGTCGCGGGGTAAACACGCCAACCCGCGCGCTGTGACGTCATGGTGTAGTCGGCTGTATGAGGCACGAGCAGGGGAGACATGACGTCAGAACGTTAAAGTTAGCAGAGGTGACAGAACTTGGGAATATGAAAAGTGGAACCAGGAGGGTCTGGCTCTGGTTGAGAGCTGAGGGTTGTTTAAGCCAAATTTTGAGTGACGAAAGGGAGAGTATTGAGTAGCCAGGCTTTGGTAGATGTTTCACGTAACAATACAAAAAAACCCTATTAACACATTCGTCGATAACTTTGCAGAACCCTACTATTCAGGATGGTCCTACCAAGTTTCTGCAGTAGTGGGCGATGGTTCCTCTGTGTACTGTAATCCTAATTGATGCATTTGCACGGGAGGGGGTGAGCATTGGAACGTTTAGCCAATACCATTTACGTTGTATTGTTTTAGCCGATGGGATGAAACCGGATAACCCGGAGGAAACTCATGCAGAACAGGGGTAAAACATACACACTCCACAGAAAGTGCCTGAGTCGGGAATCGAACTCGACTTTTTGCTATGAGGCACAAGTGTTACCACTGCGCTGCCACCCTGCCACTCAAATGTATTACAGCAAGTTGATAGTCTCTGCCCAGACACCAACGATAACACTTGTCTACAATTAAATATGCTGAATTCAAATATGACAAAATAACTGATTGGATACTATTCCCAAGATAAATAAGTTTTTACATTTTACATCTATGTGTATTGTGTAGATAGAATTTTTTACTCATAAATTGTAAACCTAGGTATTTCATGTGTTTATGGTTGCTTTACATGATACCATGTCACCTCTCCTGTTCATGTAACACTTAAAAAAATCAGCAAAAGTATTATATAAATAAAATAATTTATGAAACAAAAGGCAAAAAACAATTACATATTTATAAGTACATAGTTTAGTCCAGTGGCAGCTCCTGCAAAATCTCTCAGGGGGGGCAGATGTCTGGATGATTGATAAGGATAAGGTCCACCCAAGCAATGGATAAATTAACAGCTTAAGCATGTAAAGGCAACTTCACTTCTTTAATATTAATGAAAAATAAAGTGACTCTTACAATACATCTTGTTTGTTTCTATACTCACTATTATTACAATCCACTCAGTTTCTTTTATTAAAGATTCCACTAGGTGGCGACAAATAATATTGTTGACTGAAACGTGCTTACGTATGATGACGTAAGCACGTTAGTGCGAGCCCTTCCGGAAGCCATACAGAATGCATTGGAGCGCCCGCCGTTCGAAAAAAAACATCTTTGAATGTAAGTCTATGGGAACACTCTGGGCGATTCTCAGCCAGAGTGAAGTCGCCCAAAAAGAGGCGGTACTCCACAGAACGTGACATGACGCTGATTGGACTACTGTATATCCAGAGGCACAGTAACGGCGAGCGTAACTCTGTGGTTGAATGACATTGGTGGTGCGTCGCCCAATCGCCCTAATGAAGAAACCGCCCCTGGTTTAGTCCTTATTCAGTGTCTACTCGGCGCTTCTTGGCTTGTCTCTTGTATTCATTAAATGGAGCATTTCTTGTCACTGTCCAGCAATAGTCTGTACTCATTGATGGGCTCCATTTGCCCTTATAGCGTTTCTCCATTGTTGCAACGTCCTGGTGAAATCGCTCGGCATGCTCGTTGCTCACTGCTCCGTAGTTCGGTGGGAAAAATCTAGATGAGAGTGCAAAAATGTATCTTTAGTGACATGTTGCAACCAAGGCTTTTGTATGCCTGGAGGTTTTCCACCAACGCTCTGTAGTTGTCTGCCTTGTTTCCGAGAAAATGTGTTGCCACTAACTGGAAGGCTTTCCACGCCGTCTTTTCCTTGCCACGCAGTGCACTGTCAAATGCATAATCTCAAATAAGTTCACAAATCTTTATCTTAGCTTCACTTCACTTTGGAAATTTTCCACGGAGGTACTTGAAAGCTGCTTGTGTTTTGTCCTTGGCTTTGACAAAGTTCTTCATCAGACCCAGCTTGGTGTGTAAGGGTGGTAACAAAATCTTCCTTGATTCAACAATTGATGGATGCTGAACACTTTTCCTCCCAGGCCCCAATGACTGTCGGAGTAGCCAATCTATCTTGATGTAGTGGGAATCTCTCGCACGACTATTCCATTCGCAGAGAACACAGCAGTACTTTGTGTATCCAGTCTGTATACCAAGCAAGAGAGCAACAACCTTCAAATTGCCACAAAGCTGCCACTGATGTTGGTCATAGTTTATGCACCTCAAAAGTTGTTTCATGTTGTCAAAGGTTTCCTTCATATAGACTGCATGACCAACTGGAATTGATGGCAAATCATTTCCATTATGCAGCAAAAATTTTAAGATGCATCTTCGATGAATCAATGAACAGTCTCCACTCATCTGGATCATGAACGATGTTGAGGGCTGCCATCACACCATCGATGTTGTTGCAGGCTACAAGATCACTTTCCATGATGAAGAATGGGACAAGATCCTTTTGACGGTCACGGAACATGGAAACCCTAACATCACCTGCCAGGAGATTCTACTACTGCAGTCTGGAGCCCAACAGCTCTGCCTTAAATTTTGACTTAAAACTTTCGTGACTGTAGGAATCTCATATTCTATGGTTCTTTCGGTAAAGTCAAGTAGATAGAAAAAATTACAACAATAACAAAATAATAAAAAGAAAGTGAATTATAAAGTATCACGACGTTTCGATCGCAACACAAGCTTTATTTTCATTTGTATTTATATAATTTGATTATTATTTTATCTATCTATGTTACTTTACCGCAAGAACCATAGCATATAGCTCTGCCTTACTCTTAGGTAGTTCCAAATCCCTGACAAGGTCTTTCAGTTCACCTTGTGTTATAAGGTATGGTTCAGAGGAGGTCGATGGGAGAAAATCTTGGTCATGTGACCTTGATGGTTCAGGACCAGAAATTTAATCCTCTTCCTCGTCTGACTAAAAAGTGAGAATGATTCTGGTGCATCAGGAATCGGCAGTCCTTCTCCGTGGGGTACTTGGCGTAAAGCTGATGGAATGTTTGGAAAATGCACAGTCCACTTTTTCTTCTTTGACACACCTTTCCCAACTGGAGGTGCCATGCAGAAGTAACAATTGCTGATATGATCTGTTCGCTCTCTCCAAATCATTGGTACTGCAAAAGCATAGATTTCCTTTTCCTGTTCAACCACTGGCGAATATTTGTTGTAAAGTGTTGAGGCATATGTGTGGGGCCCACATCTTGTCCTGATCTCCAATTTTGCAGCCAACATAAAGGCTTACTTAACCAGAGTGGCGATACTGTGCTTTTGTGGTGCCAACAGTCACTTCAACACAAACATAGCAGAAATTATCTGCTTTGTTCACACAAGTACAAGGCATCTCTGCTCACTTTGGCTAAACAGAAATGTGTCCCTTTGCAAAATCAAACACCGACAAATAAGAGAGCACGACACTGTATGATTTCTAGAGCTGATATAGGGCAATTTGTTCAGCAGAGGGATGTAAGCCTAGTTATGATTGCAATATCCATGACTTCTAGGAATGACATAATGCAATTCATATCATATATGATGCAATACCAGGTTCAGATTACATAATTCATTGTTTTTCTCAAAAAGCAAGTACTGTCCAAACCCAGTCATAGATTTATTCATAGATTCAGTCAAAGATGTATTTGAGTAATTTCTGGTTTAAATTGAGATCCCTTCCCTCCACTCAGCTCCACATCCTCCTGTACCACATCGCTCCATCTCTTTTCTAGCCTATGCCACGCCCGTTTAGCCCCCTCGATCTGGCCGAACAAAAGCTGTTTAGGCATGCGGTGGCTGGGCATACGGGCTACATGACTCAGCAAACGCAGCATTTCCTGCCGGAGCTCACCGATGGGGCTTTGTCCAGATATTTCAAGGATTTGTGAGCTCCTCACACAATCCAGCCTGGTTAAACCCAGGATGGATCGTAGGCAGGCCAGCCAAAATGTTTCTAACCGGCGAATATTTTCAATTAGGGGGGTCCACGTTTCACAAGTGTAGAGAAGGGAGGGAATGACTGTGACCGAGAAGACCTGAAGCTTCGTGCTGAGCGACAGACCAGGTAGCTTCCACACAGCGTTAGGCAACCGATGAAAAGATAATGCCGCTCAACTGATTCGGAGTGAGAGCTCTGCTGTCAAACCGGAGCCGGTCATAAGCACACTGACCAGGTATGGGAAACTCTCCACTCTCCACAACTGCCCTATCACCAATTGGGAGTTGTGGGGTTGGAGTGTCTGATGGTACAAAATTCCCAGGCAGGTGCTTAGTTTTGGTGGGGCTGATGGTAAGTCCACACATCTTAGTGACAAGCTCCAGGCTCAGCAGCAGCGCCTCTAACTCCTCCTGAGTAAACAGCAATTACCAAATCATCGGCATAAATAACGTGGTTGAGCACTAGGGAGCCATCCCTTGACCGCACCCGGGCATCGATCAGCCTCCCATTGTATCTGTACCAGATGGAAATTCCTCCGGTACAGTTATTGAAGGCTTCACGAACTACGTGGTCGAAATAGATGTTAAATAATGTGGTAGCCAGAGGACATCCCTGTCGCACTCACTCATTCCCTCTTAATTCATTCATATTCGCTCCCGCCCGGGCGATCCGATTCCTCGGTTGCGATTCCGTTGTGCGGCCGACGTCGCTCGCGGATTTTGGGAGGAATCGATTCACTGCGTCGCTAATCGCGTTATACGATTCCGCCGCGAGTTGATTCCTCACTCGTGCGGATAAAGCGGTCGCGCGGCGACACTGACAGTCCACACTGTACATCGACTGTACACGGACTAGTACACACTGTACATTGACTGTACACGGACACCGTGTACGCTACTCGTGCTACAGAGCTGAGTACGGACGACCATCACACTGTACGCGTCACTGGACAGTGCGTACTGTACGCAGCCTAACGTACTGTACACACGAGTCGGGACGCGCTGTAACAGTGTCCACGTAGGAGCTCACAAATCCTGATAACAACTTCATATATAGAGAACCGCAGAGCTCGGTCGATTGTTGATGGCCGCTCCTCACCGCGCGGCTGCTCCTGGATGCGGTTTCCACCGCGCGCCTCCGTGTCGTCTTCTCACACTCAGTGCATGCAACTTCTTTCGCACCGTACGTAGCCAACCGTGCTAATCTGAGGTTAGAAGGACAACAAACTAAACACAACAAGCGGTGAGCGAATCCTGTGCATTGGCGGCGCGTTACATACAAGTTGATATAATACAGCCTACCCGCATTACCTCACTACGCACTCTTAATACTGGTAGGAACCTCCTGGTTACACCAGCCCACAGGGGATTATTGTGTCCGTCCTTCGTGCATCAAATAATGGGAGGGGTGGGGCTGGGTGGAGAGGGGAGGGTGGGGAGGGGCTGGGTGGGGAGGGCTGGGTGGGGAGGGTGGGGCTGAGTGGGGGGGTGGGAGGGGTGGGACTGGGTGGGGAGGGTGTGGCTGGGTGGGGAGGGGCTGGTCACCCCGTGGTGCCCTTATAAAACTGAACGTTTAACCTACTCACGCCGGCTTGTGCCCGCCCTCACAGTCGGGCATATTTGCGGAATACACCACGCCGCCGTTGACCCTGCAGGCCATTGACCGAGCAACCCAACGTTCCTACCAGCTCCCTCTGCAGAAATGTGTTAACTCGCGCTGTGCATGCACTCATCAACCATTATCCATGCCCTGCTGGACGGCAGCCTCCCCAAGCCGTCAATATCCCTCACGATCCTGCTTTTGCCACAATCCATCGCCCTCTTGTGCATGAGCTTCTCCGGTCGCCCCATCTCCTGTGGTCATCCTTTCTGGCGCGTTATCTGCGTTGCCGATTATTCGCCACTCATCCATCGGCCATCCCTTTTGGTGAGGTGTCTAACCCAAGCCCATTTATTTCGTGTCTAATTTACAGAATCCCCGATTCCACGTGTTCCCCTGCTGTGCCTCGGTGTTATTCCAAGCATGCGCCTCCTGTCCTCGTACTTTTCAACCTTTTTTTCAATGCCCCTTTTGGTTTAATACGGAGGCTTTCGCGACCAATACCCATGATACGTACAGGTTTTTTGGGGGGGATGAGATCGACAAAACGCAAGCCCCATTCGGCGCGACGGGGCCGTACATAGATGGGCGGGGGAGGGTATTGGGCAGAGGTCGCAACCGGGTACCCGATACCCGTACCCTACCCGATACCCGGCTACCCGTACCCGGCCGGGTACGGGTACGGGTAGCCGTTTGCGACCCTGGTGCGGCCGGGTACGGGTACGGGTAGGCCGTGAGTCACTGGTGAGTAACCGTTTGTCGCTCATTTCGGGTAGGGTACGGGTAGGGAACGGGTACCCGTACCCGGCCGGGTACGGGTACCCATTTGCGACCCTGGTGCGGCCGGGTACGGGTAAGGAATCAAAACCCGTTTGCGACCTCTGGTATTGGGCCCGCAGACAAGTGGGGACCCCGCGTAGGGGGGAGGTGAATATGTACAGGGACGCCTCTACTTACGAACATCCAACTGACGAACTTTCAGAGATACGAACAAACGTCGAGTTGCCTTTACAACCACCGGCGCAATAGATTGCGGTGGTGCCATCTACATCTGCAGAACATGAAGAACCAGTGGCATATACATCTACGGGAGATTATGCAACCTTTAAAGCCATTCCCCGTGTTTAGTGTCCATGCTCTACAATATTTTTGGAATCGCCGGGAGGAAAGTTGGACTTACGAACAAATCGACTTACAAACAGACCTCTGGAATTCTAGATTTGAAGTTTACGTGACTGCAAGGGTCCATACTCTTTGTTTTCTTCGGTAAGTCACGTAGGTAAAAAATAAAATAAATTTAAATGAAAACAAATTAAACTAATGTATTTGTTTTCATTTTAATTTATTAAAACAAATACATTAATTTTTTTCATTTTAATTTATTTTATTTTTTACCTATGTGACTTACCGAAAAAAACAAAGAGTAGACCTCTGGAACCTAACTCGTTCGTAAGTAGAGGAGTCCTTGTATATGTTTATGTGGGGGGGTGAGAACAAACATACCAAGGGGAGACCAAGGATAGAGGGAAGGGGGGGTTATCCAATGCTCTTCATCGCAGCCTAAGTTCCCGTCCATGTTTCGGGTAAATGCACCGATTAAAAACGTTAATGAGCCACAACGGCATATACATACTTATCAGTGCCTACCTTATTACAGACCAATTCATCCTCCAAAGTCCCATCACAAGGAAGAATCAAACAAATAGAAAAAAAATTCCCCGTATTGAAACGGTTGTACAACGTATGGACCTGAAAACTCAATTTTCCTGTACAAGAATACAGGTAAACCGTATGGGCTGACAGGTATTCATATGGGTTTCGCTATACAGTGTTTCTTTTTTTTTCAAAAGCACTGAATCTTGCTCTTGCTAGCCCACCCGGTTCGCTTTCAATAATTGCCATTGATTTTCATGACACACTCGCTTGTGTTTTTCGAGCTTTTCAACACCCATTTTGTTGTAATTTTACAGGTTAAATGCACATGTCTGCATATACCGCGTGGATATATTAATACAGTTGAAGACTACAAAGCATGGTTCTGTCAATATTTGAGCTTATAGTATTTAATAAACACATGACTGAGAGACAAGTCGGTGTGAAAGATGGTTTATTGTCGTGCAGTGGTGCCTTCTCTGGTCTGCAGACGTCATTGCTGATTGAGACACGTTCTGGGGAAGGAGGAGCTGTCTCGTGAGGCAGCCGACAATGATGTGCCTTGAAGGTAATCTGCCCTTCACTGATACTCCTCTGATACCACGTGGCTTCCATTGATCACAGTCATTCACCGTCTGCCATGTATGCATGATGAACTTCTTTTAGCGCCGTACATAACCAACTGTGCTAATCGGAGATGCAGGGGAAGGACAACAAACTAAACACAAAATATTATGACCCTTGCAATCGCTGAATTTCTCAAAGAATAGGAAGGACTCATCGCTTCTTTATTACTAGCACATGTTTATACATACAGACTCAATGACCAGACATCATGAGCTAAATATTCACATGGCAATGCATTGTAATTGTAACAATTACAAGTTTATAAATGTTAATATCCCCTGGGATGTTGTTCAGTCACCTACAATATTAGCAATTTCCCATGAAATCGAACATTTTAGAAGGGAAATAAAGGAGGAAATGGGAAAAATACGTTTTTTTACTTTTCTTATGCTATTCGTTGTAAACGGTTGCACTTTATTTTGCGCGCGGTTGCAATTTATTTTGCTCAGTCGGTGTGAGCTGCTGCGGTCGTGACAGGTTTATTTTTTGTATTCCTGTTGCTCTATGCTCCCTGTACCGTTTCGGATCTACTGTAATGTGAACTGATGCCTACTTTATTGGTGGTGATATTGTCACGTAAAATAAAGATTGATTTATATACTAATACACTGCCACATGCACAGTACATCGAACATGATTGAATATAGAAAAAATCTCTCAAACGATGGTCTATGAAAGAAGTGCGTGTGGATTTTAAAAGATGGGATGGCCGTTGTATTGCACAGATGCGTACACAGAGCAGACACAATAATGCATCACGAATGTGTCCGGCTAAGTGAGATTCTACCTTCCTACAGACCTGGAGGTGGAGCTGGCGTGTGTGTCGTCTGAGCTGGACAGAGTCGGGACGCAGATCCAGGAGTTGGTGGAGCAGCAGGAGCTGCTGCTGGAGCGCAAGGCGAGCATCCAGAACAAGATCAGCAAACTCCAGCGCAAGCAGAGCAAAGAGCAGAGCGGCTCTGCGGACAGCGCTCGCGCTGCAGAGAAGTGGGAGCGAGAAGGTGAGGCCCACGTGCTCGGCCAAAAACTAAACTATTTTTATTTTATTTTACCAGGTAAGGGGCCATCCATTTAGTACGTATGCATGGAGGGGGGGATGTTAACCCAAATGCGTACACTTGCGTATGGGGGGTCTACTGATAATGTACGTATGGATAGGAATCGGGGTGGGGGGGGGTGGGTGAAGCCTCAATAATTTGTCTACATTGGCCTTCAAATGAGTTAGATAGTCCGGCAGTGGAATATATGTTTGCTTAAACACGTCGTTTCTGCGTGGATTAAATATCTGCCGTTTTATAGGAAATGGGGGGGGGGGGGGGGGGGGGGGGGGTGCGTCAAGCGTACGTACGCAGGTGGGGGGGTGTAAAAAGTATGCATGGGTACAGGGAGGGGGGGAGGGGTTAAGTTTTGACAGATTTTTGCGTATGTACTAAATGGATGGCCCGAATGCCTGCTGAGCTATATAGCTCTTTTGCAGAAGCGACCTGGTCACAAACTATAGCTCATTGAAGTGGCTTATCACGTGGAAATTTATATCAGCCAAATACTCTAAACGCATGTTTCTAAATGTGGAGGGCAAAACCGGAGGACCCAGAGAACAATCCACGCGACTACGGGAAGAACATGCAAACTCCAAATATACAGGCGTCAGGGTCGGGATTGAACCCATGACCTACTGTATATCAGTCATAGATTTATTCATAGATCCAGTCAGATGTATTTTCGTCATTTCTGGTTTAAACTGAGATCCATTCCCTTTTTAATTCACTTATCCTCCGCCATTCCCAAGTCAAGGGTCGTATATACTGACCCAGCAGCATATCTTGAAAACTAGAGCCAATCAAACATTTTAAGCATCATTTTCATTCTCAGTGACCCAGAATTAGTAAAGTTGGACTACATTTATTTCGGAAGCATTTTGGCTGTAGACCCGTGTAATCAGGCCACCATTTGTCTCTCCACATGAAATAAGTATTTTTTATTCAGTCAGCTGGTGGGATTTCTGGGCCAATATTATCCAGCAGCATTGGACCATTCTCAACCTTTTGGTTTTTATCCGTGGTTAGGAATGTTGAACAAATATTGGTGGATTGTCAGATGTGATGGTCAAGAGCACTTAAATCTTCACAAGAGGGCTCTGTAAAAAAAAAATAGGACTTGGGTATTGTTGTGGATCATAATGATAATTAAATAAACGGTGGACATCGTGCCAAACAACACGCAGCAAAACCCTAAACACATCGGGGAGAATTAAAGAGACCCATCCCCATTAAACAAACGTGATCTCCCAGCACCATTCATTATGCTTGGGCTGATCCTTTAGGGGATCTAAAGTGGAACTAGCTGCACAATCTATTACCTAATGCAGTAATGTCTCTACTAACCCCAACTGTTATCGGTGACTCTGTGCCAACTTGATGTGAATTGCAGATTTTTCGTGGTCAACCAAGTTGAAATGCACCCTGCGCGAAGTGTTCAAGATGGACAATTTTCGATCTCTGCAGCTGCAGGCAATGAATGCCAGTATAGCCGGCCACGATGTGTTTCTCATCATGCCAACAGGAGGAGGAAAAAGTCTCTGCTACCAACTGCCAGCACTGTGCTCGAAAGGTTAGCTGCTATTGACTAAGTGTGCATGGGTTTTTTTTGGCATTCACCAACCCACACTCACCGGATAATTTGGGCGCCCGTGTTCGTTCTGGTGAGATGTTAATAGCAACACAAGATTAACTGTTTACGTTTAACTTAACATGGCATTTGTTGCAGCCTTTATTATACTTCATAATATATTTTTTGGTTAGGCCACGTAATGGTCTGTCCAAATTTGTGTCGTTAAGTCCCCCCACCATACAACACAGCTAAACAAATGAATTGTCCTGTGTATCATTCTTTAACGCACCAATCATTATTATTTCAGCTTGCCGGTAAGAATAAGAACAATTCTCACAACTAAATGTAGCAATTAAGGTACAATTGCTCAATTTGATTGTGTGAATTGTTTACAGTTGTACTGTGCATGCATTGGATGTAAAATTTGCCTCTTTGCGCACACTCTTGTTGGCAGAATTTGTGGCCAGGAACCTGGCGACAAATAATAGCTTAAGAAAGTTGCTTATCATATGTGGGAATTTATAGTAGCAGCCAAATAATCTAAACGCATGTTTCTAAATTTGGAGGGAAAAACCGGAGAACCTGGAGAAATATTAGATTTGAAGCTTTCGTGACTGCAAGGATTCATACTCTTAGTTCTTTCGGTAAAGTCATGTAGGTAAAAAATGAAATTAAAATTAATAAAAATAAAACAATAAAATCACGACGTTTCGGAGGCAACACAAGTCTCCGTCATCAGGTGGGACCATCACAGCCAGATTTGCTTATTTTAGGCGAGGGAGATAACATCTTGCCACCATGGCGCCCTAACCACTTAGAGTTGAAACTAATGATTGAATCAGAAGGAGGACAAATTGTTACATTTCTAATATCACGAGTGACGTGATTGTTCACTGGCATCCTTCCGTGTTTATGTAGGATTCACTTTGGTGATTTCCCCACTCATCTCGCTGATGGAAGACCAAATTATGGCGCTGGAGCAACTAAAGATCCCAGCCGCCATGCTCAGTGCCAGTAGCACCAAGGTAACGTTGATATTCCATCCAATGCCCGATTTTTATCTCTGTATTATAGATTATGTTTATGGAAACCTCCCTGACCATTGTGTAGTGACTAACTCGGAGACGATAATAGTTGGAGGCACTTCTTTATTAACAAGCACCATCAGGGTTAACACTTTATAATTAGTCCGTCTATTGTCGGCGACGCTACTCAGTCAGGACAGTTGGTAGGCTGCCTGACTGGTGACGCCCCGAGATGATGAAGACGGAGACAATGGCAAGAAGGATGGTGTAGACGAGAAGAATGGTGACGAAGACGTCAGCAGCACGACGGGGATTCCACTCCGCACAACAGCCCCGAGGTCCCCTACAGGGGCCCTTCTTATACTCTCAGCGTGGCCGGGCTTTGCTCCCATAAGCCGCAGATCCCCTTCCCTGCCAGCAGCCAGCGCTATGCTGCTACATTACTATTCTATGCCACTCCATCACTGCTCCCCCTCCCCCCGTGAAAAAAAAACAGCCGTCCCGGCTGACATCAATCACCTATGTAAATGGGAACTGCACAAATGTGCTAACACAACAAAGCTAACATAGAGGAGTAACGAATTCTAGGCAAAATCCCTCGACAACGAACTTGAACCGCAAGGAAGTGAACAATGGAAAAGGGGCGGGTTATCGAAAGGAAACACTTTTCGAGCGGGTCCTCGCCGCCGAACCCCGAGCTGGGACAGGAATAGATGTGCTGGGGACCCCCGGGACAATACGCAAATGGCCTAACAGGCGCGGCCCCTCCCGGGAAGAAGATAGCAACTGGTCCGTCACCCCTGGTCTGTCCTTCGGAGGCGCTGCCAGTGGGTCTGCGGGCGTCAGGCGCTGGAATCCTGCGGGCGATACAATGGAATCCTTCTGAGGCATAACCTCCGGAGTTGCTCGCCCCAGCTCGTCGGCCACGTTAGACACCCGGCACTCCTAGGAGGAGATGAACTGTCCACACAGGGCAAAATATTTGGCTTCAACCGAGACGGGTGCATAAACCAGCGCCAGTGACCGACCTGTATACGCACGCATTGCGGCCTTTTAACCTCAATAATCTCAACAGGGCCGTGCCACGACCGGTGCAATTTTGGGGACGTACCCAGGGGCACCTGAGGACAATGCAACCACGCCTTGTCCACAGCGGTTCATGGGGTCCTGGACTCCCGTTGCCCTACAAGTTTTTCATTTGCGTCCTGTCATTTAGCCGAATTCCCTCGAGACGCTTCCCGCATCTCCGTCAGCCGCCTAATCGTGACCTGCATGGGCATGGGCATAACGGACTTCTTTTTGCCCAGGTCCATGCCTAACTGAGCCTCCATGGGGGAGGTCACTTTCCCTCCCATACATGAGGTAAAATGGAGAGAATCCTGTTGAGGCATGAGGGGCCATCCTATACGCAGCCAGGACACCTGGAATGTGTAAGTCTCAGTCCGACTGTGCCTCGTTAAACCTATTTGCACATCATGGACGTAAGAGTCCTGTGTAAGCGCTCCATCATCCCGTCCATCTGGGGATTGTAGGGCGATGTCCAGATTTTTTTCATTCCCAGGGAATCGCACACCTCCTTTAACAATTTTGAAGAAAAATGTTGCCCCTTGTCTGTAAGGAGTTGTTCCAGGGCCCCTGTGTCTAAAACGTACCCATGTAAAAATCCGTCCATAATGGATGCGGCCGACTGATCTGGCAGAGGCCACGGCACCAGCCACCGGGATAGGTATTCCACCCCGACGAGGAGGAATTTATTTCCCCTCTGAGTGGTGGGAAACGGCCCGAGGATGTCCAGAGCAACCAGCTCGTAAATACGAGACACCGCGATGGATTGTAACGGCGGCTGGACCTGCCTCGGCGGCGGCTTGCGTTGTGCGCAGTCAGTGCATCCCCTGACCATGTGGTACACATCATCCCGGGCCAAAAGAAGTCACGCTTCAGTGTCACTGCAGTTTTACGCACCCCAAGGTGCATTAATTTCACGTGGACAGCCCGTGTAAGTTTACCCCGCAGAGCAGTCGGCATTACAATGCAATGACGTTGCAGCTCCTCATCCCACCTCATCAACAGCACATCATGGAGGAAGGACTATGAGGGACATTCCCTCTGGCACATTTTTACTACTCCTTGTCCCAACGCGACGCCACAACTTTAACAAGGAGGCATCCTCTACCTTGAGGCATCCCCATTCAACGTGCGTGAGACCAATTGTGTTGTCACAAGGAGCAGTTGTCGCGGGTGGTGGAACATCGACGGATGCCACAACAGCACACAGCAATTCCGTAGCCGATGGTTTACATCGGCCAGCACCCATTAGACATGCACACTGGTCCCTCGGTGGTAACCGGGACAGCGCATCCACGTTGCAGTGACGTACACCCTTCCTGTAGGTGACCGTGAAGGAGTAGTCTTGCAAAATTTCTAACCAGCGGGAAAGTTGGCCAGAAGGCTGATCAATCCTTAAGGCATATTGAAGAGCCGCGTGGTCCGTACGCACGATAAAGTTGCGTCCGTAAAGGTACAGCCTATACTGTTGCACAAAGTGCACTATGGCCAACAATTATCTGCGCATCACGCAATAACGCTGCTCTGCAGGGGACGGCACACGGCTCCCATAAGCCACAACCCTTTCCGCACCATTCACGACCTGGAACAGTACAGTGCCGATTCCGGTGTCGCTGGCATGCGTATCCAACACAAAGGGCAGAGAGAAATTAGGTATCCAAGGGGAGGCGCATTGGCGAGGCCAAACGCGGCCTCCTCCCCCCACCGAAATTTCTGGCCCTTGGCAGTAAGCACGTGGAGCGGCTTAGCGATCATCGCGAACGTGGGGACGAACCGGCGATAATGCGATGTGAACCCAACAAGACTGCAGACTTCACCCACCGACGTGGGGGTTGGCCATGTGCGCACGCATGCAATTTTGTCGGGATCCTTGGCTATCCCGGACTCGCTAACAATGTGGCCCAAATACCGCACCGATGTTTGCAAAAGATGGCACTTCTGTGGTTTAAATTTGAGATTAGACGCTCGCACCCTGATAAACACTGAAATGTGCACCCGAACACAATAACGTCACCTAAGTAAATAAGGCACGAGTCCCATTGAAGACCTGCCAAGACCAATTTCATAAGCCGCTGAAACATGGCCGGAGCAGAGTGAAGACCCATCGGGAGGCAGTTGAGTTGAAACAACCCTTGTGGTGTTCGGAACGCGGTTTTAGGCCTGGATCCTTCATCCAAGGGCAGCTGCCAAAACCCCAACAACAAGTCGAGGGTCGAGAAAAAATACGCACCCGACAAAGCGTCCAAGGAGTCATCCATCCGCGGGAGCGGGCACGCATCCGCCACAGAAACTTTATTTAATTTTACGGACGTTGATGCAAAAATGCAGACTCCCATCCCGTTTTTTAACCAAGATAATGGGAGCCCCTCACGAACTGGTGGAAGGGGAGATAATGTCTGCGGCCAACATTTCTTCAACTGCCTGGCGAACGTGGTCCTTCTCCTTGGGACTGAGCCTGTACGAATTCTGCCATATTGGGGCAGCGTTACTCGTGTCGATGCGATGTTGCAATAGTGACGTGCGTCTAATATCAAATTTCCCCTGGCTAAAAATATCCTCATTCTCGGAGCAAGGCACGCGACTCGCCCTGCTGTTCCCCGGACAATTTAGAATTTTCCCCACACAACATGTCCATCCAAGCCCCATCCGACTTGCCTCCCCACTCCACTGTGGCAACGACCTCTGCAGCCCCCTCGCGGGCCTCCTCACAGCGCGCGGCCATCGCGTGGGCCAAAACTGTACCCGCTTGGACCACCGCAGCCCCCAGCCCAATGTTCAGCACTTGCAAAAAGCGGGTTCTTTGTGTGCCCCTTCTTTGACCTTTCCCTTAGATCCCCTTCTAGTCTATAACCTGGCCTGCTGACGTCAGGGCTGCCGTAAGCTGCAGATCCCCTTCCCTGCCAGCAGCCAGCGCTATGCTGCTACATTACTATTCCATACCACTACACTTGTGTGGCATCGTAAGCATGTTAAACTTGGATGTGGTTGGTGTGAGGTCACAAAAAGACAATGCAAGTTCGTTCTTGCTATCATCTTGTGGGGGAGAGTAAGAAGGTTTACCCGATGAATTTAAGTTGTAGCCTCAGTTTTTGAGAGAGAGGAGATGTTGAGAGTCAAATGTCCAGTTTTAATTATTCAGTGTGGTTTTGTTATATTCTGGTATTTAAGTCCGAGGAAGTTATTTAAATTTGGAATTGTATGCCATGTTCTAATGTGGAACGAGTGTTTCACTTTCCAAAAGATGTGCGCTTCATAATTGGTGTCATGAAATGCAACAGAACTACGAGACTTTCCATTGTGTCAGGTGGATTGTTGTTTGCTTGAAAGAGGCCCTTTGAAAACACTGGTTTTAAATTCTGACGGTGCTTTGTGTTTGAACGTCCTCAGGAGCATGTAAAGACCGTCCAAGCAGCCATGATTTCCAATGACCACGAGCTGAAGCTGCTGTATGTGACGCCGGAGAAGATCGCCAAGAGTAAGATATTTATGTCGAAGCTGGAGAAAGCTTACAAGGGCGAGCGCCTCACTCGCATCGCCATCGACGAGGTGCACTGTTGCAGCCAATGGGGGAACGACTTCCGGCCCGGTGAGCAATTTGTAATTATATACTATATTTATTTTCATTTCGTGACTTGCTTAGCTTTCTTATACATTGCACTCCTATCTGTTTATGTATTGTTTGTTTGTTGTAATGTTCTTACTCGCCCCTAACTGGGCATCTGTCAAAAAGAGCTTCTTAGCTCATCGGATTCCTCCAGGATAAATAAAGATTCTGATTCTGAGCGCACTCGTGTCCATCGCGACAACGACAGCCATTATTCGCCACTAAGTGGTGGTGATGTCACCACGGTGCTTGTGCCAGGCTAGGTGAACCTTGAGGCCACATGAAGTGTCAAAGGCTCGCTGGCAGGAGGTCATGGGACAGACTTAAGTGCCATGGGTTAACTGAGATGACTGGCTGATGCATCACCTGTGCTTCCCACTGTGCCGACTCGATGCGTATTAGCCACCCGGCACTCCGCTCCTTGCTATTTCGCTGTTGTTGGAGGGCGATTGCCTCCAACTTCCCACTAGCTTGCTTCACAGGCTTCCTCCAAAAAGGCCGATCTTGACTCCGCTGGTACCAGTCATTGACAAATCCAAACAGCTCCACATCCTTCTGTACCGCATCAGCTCATCTCTTCTCTCACGCATGCATACATATAGAGAGTCAGGAGAGGTTTCCGCTTTACCCCAACATCGCCTCAAAGATCCATGACCAGGGCTACCTGCACCACAGTATTCCTGCGCCATTCCGGACCATGCCCCACACCGCACACACGTGGCTGGCTGAAAAAATTATCTCCTTGAATTTTTAGCTGATGATAGAAACCTGTATGTATACATACATTGTATCACCAAACTTCAAGTTATATCTTCTTGGTTCTTTGGGTAAAGTCACGTAGAAGGGAATTAATAAAACAATAAAAATAAAACATAATAAAACAATTCTCACGACGTTTCGGCCACAACGCAAGCAGCCGTCCTCAGGTGAAGAAACAGGTCTGTCGGGAAGACAGCGGCTGAATGACACGCCCCAGGCTTGGAGCGTCTATTTAAGCTAGGTTGGAGCGAGAAGGAGCGCCTTAACAAAATAATTTGCATATCAATAGGAATTTAGCATATTTATGGGAAATGCAGATATGGGATTAGTACTACTTGTGAAGTGCGTAGGAGGTGGAAAGGGGGTTTTAAGTCATTATGCCCGTGCATTATGCAGGATTAACAGAATCAAAGGGAGGGGGTAGGAGTAGCATTAATGAAGTGAAGGAATGTTAATAGTATGTAGCTGCAGTAAATCAACCACCACGTAAACAACTAAAGTATAAATTACATAGTATCATCAGTATACTAAATATATTCTCCAATAAGCTGATCTACTAACAGTAAGTAATACATTATAATTATGTGTCGCAAAAATATAATGTGCTTCCAGCTAAACTTTATTCTCTTACATCACACGGGTCTACCCCCTGCTATATACTGCCATAGACAAACCCAACATTAAATGATATACTGTATTACTATACACCACCCTATAACTTATACATTGTATTATTCTACCCACCCTACTGTATATCACACCGCTGTATATTCACTATACAATTACGATACTATATATTACTTTATACATTGTATTAAACATTACAATGTTATACTATTTATTATTATACAATCCGCTATACACTATACCATTGACCGTCACGTGAAAGATACTAAGAGGAAGCAACGAAATATGTCAATGGGAGAGTGGTGGTAGGAGGCTTGCAGCGGAGCAAAGAATCCATTCCCTGCGGAAAATACAAGATATATAGTCAATGCCAGTGAGTGGACTGCGGCATAATGACTTAAAACCCCCTTCCCACCTCCTACGCACTTCACAAGTTGTATTAATCCCATATCTGCATTTCCCATAAATATGCTAAATTCCTATTGATATGCAAATTATTTTGTTAAGGCGCACCTTCTCGCTCCAACCTAGCTTAAATAGACGCTCCAAGCCTGGAGCGTGTCATTCAGCCGCTGTCTTCCCGACAGACCTGTTTCTTCACCTGAGGACGGCTGCTTGCGTTGTGGCCGAAACGTCGTGAGAATTGTTTTATTATGTTTTATTTTTATTGTTTTATTACTTCCCTTCTACGTGACTTTACCGAAAGAACCAAGAAGATGAATCCCTGCAGTCACGAAAGCTTTAAATCGAAATTCAAGTTATATCTTTAAACTTTAATTCTCGCACCTACACACTGAAATAATATAGCTTCCGCAGTATTTGGTCCGAAGATGGTCCAGTGTCTGAATTGTTTGCCTCCTAGAATAGCACGGTTGGCTACATATGGTGCAAAAGCAGTTCAATATACATGTATATTTAAAATGAAAATAAGTTAACTCTTGAATGAACTGCATGAATAGAATAACCTGGAGTCTAAATAGCTGAATCCAGTCAAAGACCCAAAGCCCTATAGTGGGAAAACATAAATCGGGATAGCGGCGAGCACAAGAACAGACCGTGGAGGTCGGTTGTCAACTTTCAATATCATGGATATACTCTTTAAAACGTTTAGCTTCATTTGAAATGCCAGTGATGTGTGTTTTTAAACACAATTGTTGACCACAGGCCCAAAGGTTCACAATGTCCAGCTGCCAGAACAAAGAGCACAATCAAAATTCGAATGGTTAAGGGTTCATGGAGTGACAAGAGGTTGGGAAAATAGATAATGAGAGGTAATTCCAAAGTGGAGCAGTGTGGTGCGTTAGTCAGTGCGTTGTATGTATGTGTAGTGTCGTCTGTCCATGTGGGTGGCGTGCGTCGAACACACAGTCGGCCGGAGATGAAGTGGTCGCAGGAGGCACCGCTCTGCCCTCTTTTATTCGTTGTTGTTGCCGAGCTCACGCCACCACTCGGGCCCCCTGTCTCTCTCACACACGACCCAGTTGCCGTGCGCCCCATCCCAAACACGACCCTGTCCACGTTGCACCGATGGCATCAACTGGGACAGCCAACCACTGTCCGGCCGCGCAATGATCGGGCGAAGGCGGCAGCGACGAGGGCAGCCTAGAGCTCTCGCTCCCCGCTGCTTATATTCACCTCGGCGCACCTTGGCACTGCCCTAGCCACGCCTCCCTTCTCGAATCCTCAAGAGGCTTACAGGGGCTTCTACACGAGGTCTATCATGACCCTTGTCCCAGTTCTTCTGCCCTGCCGGCACACCCGTGTATATGCTCAGCGGCATGTGCGCTAAGTGCCCACCTGCAGTTGCTGCTGCTGTCCAACAGTCAGCGCTATCTCACTACATCACCCCCCCTCCGTTAAAAAAAACAGCCGTCCCAGCTGTTAACATGGTAGCAGCAAATGCCGGCAGGCAGGGCAACACCCTTAACCCGAGGAACTTCAACAACAAACCAAAAAATCCCTCACAATCCCATTACAACCGCAACATATCCCGCTTCAACAACACATTCCACTGCTCCCCGGTGCCCCCCCAATAACAAACCAACACTTCCCTGCATGGCGTCCTCGAACTCGAGAATCGGCGACTCCCTGAGAGTCCCCCATCTGCAAATCGGTGATCCCCCATACACAAGCGGCGTCTCTGAATCCGTGAACCGGCGACTCCTTCACAGCCCCCCATCCGCGAATCGGCGACCCTTCCCACACACACGCGGCACATCGAGCTCGCGAATCGGCACATCGCCTCCGTTTCATATTTTACCCAGGCCCTTAACCCCAACACCCCTTCACCCCCCGAGTCCCCTCTCAGTGCAAGGGAGAGTCCCCCTAATCGGGGATGTAGTTCACGTGATCCGGTCCATGGCGCCGGTCACGCCTGTCCCAGCAGGGTCCTGCACCTCTGGAATCCGGAGGGCCAAGAGACGATGGAGACGGAGTCCTCGGCTCAAAGGGCGTGGCCCCTCATCGCTCGGCATCGCCCACCGGGTCCAGTCCCGGAGGCCTCCCACTTGGCGGTCTCGGTAGGCCCCAGAGACCCGGTCCGATGAGGCTTAATGAGCACGGGTGACTCTTCAATGTCACTTGTCACCCCGGCAGTCCGCAGCAGTGTGGCCCGACCGACCGCACACGAAGCACTTTAGCGCGGCTCTCGATGGCAGAGGGAGCTGCTCCCACCGCGGGTCAGGCGTGGTGCTGGCCACCCATCCCGTCTTGTGCCATGGCGGCCTTCATAGGTGGTCGCTAACAGCACTTGCCTCAACAGTCTGTTAAGGCTACATGGGGAATCTTTATATTTTTTGTGTTAGAAGCAGAACAAATTTAACTGTTTGGGTGTGTGTGGCTCGGTGGTATAGATTACAAGGTGCTGGGCATTCTGAAGAGACAGTTCCCCAAGGTGCCGCTGCTGTGTCTCACCGCCACGGCCACCAGCGTGGTGCTGGACGATGTGAAGAGCATCCTGGCAGTGCCCGGCGCTCTCTCGTTCACCGCCTCCTTCAACCGCCCCAATCTCCACTACCAGGTCAGAGCATTCATCATAAACAGTTCTCACAATTACGAAGTGGAGCGGTTGCTTTCGTCTGCTATAAACACTGCTAAAAAGCATGTTGTGGGTTTCAGTTCAATGGAAAGGTGTGAACATTCACACTTAGAAATGTAAACTTTTAGGGGTGCATTTGTATGAAAATACATTGAACAAGCCACCCGGGTGTGCTGTTATTAGAGGATTCAACACACAGGGTTACGGATGCGAGTTAAATTGCAATCATGAGTTGAGTCAGTCCATCATCGCTGCAAGGTCATTAAAATCGATGTATCACTACTAATGAGCTGGTAAGCACACACTAAGACCAAACCTTTATTTAAATTACCACAGCAAATTTCAATGAGAAAACTAAACCCAGAGAAAAGAACATTAGATTTTTTTGTACGCATGAATATGCAAATGTATTAAGACACAAAAACTCAGTATTGCCTCTTTGTGTGAATTCAATATTAGTTGCATGGATAAATTTACCTCTGCCGTGGTAATTATACAACTAAAACTATAAAACTATTTTCATATTACCAGGTAAAGCTCACTGAGCTATATTAGCTCTGTTTCAGAAGTGACCTGGTCACAAATTATAGCTCAACAAAATGGCTTATGTGTGTAAATTTATAGCAGGCAAATTTTTGAAACGCATGATTCTAAATGTGGAGAGATAAACCGGAGGACCCGGATGAAAATCCACACGACAACGGGGAGAATATGTAAACTCCAAATATAAAGGCGTCAGGGCTGGGATCGAACCCCCATGACCTCCTCCATACCAGGTGAGGGAGTTAACATCTCGCCACCGCGGTTCTCCAAATGTGGAATTTACCTCAGTGGCTTGGGTACCAAGAGAGAGACGAGTCATGCACTTCTATGTTGATTTGAAGCTTTCGTGACTGCAGGAATCCATACTCTTTGGTTCTTTTGGTAAAGTCATTATTTTATACCTACGTTACTTTACCGAAAGAACCATAGAATACACTTCTTTGTTTTTATTGCATTCACACTAATACAGAGGCATGGAGGTGTTTTAGGTGACAGAAGCTGATTAGATTATATCAGCATCCTTTGCATACCAAGATGACATCACGATTCCTGCAAGTGTTTTGCGTGCAGCCTGACAAAGCTACCGGCTTAAAAGGCCTGAACATGTGGCCTCATTTGTTTTGGGCAGCAGCAGGATAATGGTTTCATTTTTATTAGGACTCATCAGTACAGTAGAGCCGTTATAAGGTACCTGGATTACATTGGTTAGCTTGAGGTTTTTGGTGTATTTATTTTCTTCATATTTATTTCTATGTCTCCCAATTGTATTACAACTGTGCTATCGGTGTCATATCATGAGTTGAAGTAGTTTCCTCTGTGCAGTGTGTTTCCAATAAATAGTAACTCGCTGCTGTGAGATATAAAATGCTGCATAGCAATGTTCAACTATGGTGATATATTGGCTTGATTTGACATCGCAGGTTCATCGGAAGCCGACCAAATTTGAAGACTGCATGGAAAACATGGTCAGGCTCATTAACAAGAAATACAAAGGCCAGTCAGGTACTCATTGTGTCCCACAGCAATAGGGGTTGCAGCACACTTTATTTATATTGCCTTTATTTAAATCATTTGGATTTATCGTGCATATAAAAAACGGACAATTTTGGCAACATTGAATTCCGTGATGGCTGTAGGGCTATCACTTTGAGTAAAGCACAGAGAGCAGGCAGTTTCATAAGTTACGTGTATCTGAAGTGCATGTGTGTGTGTGTCATGCCCAGTGGGGAGCGGCAGTGTAGCAGGTAGCACGCTGTGCTACGAACCGGACGACCCGAGTTCCATTCTCGCTCACCGCCAACGCCAGTGACGATTATCTGAACCGGTCCTGGACCTCCCCTAGGTCGACTCAGCCTCAAACGAGTACCTGGTGTGGTTTGTAAACATCGCCACTTGGGAGACAAAGGCAGCCGGGCATAGTGCTGGCCACCTACCCCCTTGCATGCTGTGCCTGCTTTCATAGGGTGCTCGCTAACAGCACTTGCCCCAACAGTCTGCTAAGGATATACAGGGGATCTTTGTCTTTGTTGTCATGCCCAGGTATCGTGTACTGTTTCTCACGAAAAGACTCCGAGGAAGTGGCAACAGCTCTCACTAGTTTGGGCGTTGGTGCTGGCTCTTACCACAGCGACATACCAGCTGATCGCCGCAGCAGGTTGCACCGCCACTGGACCAGCAACCGCTTGCAGGTGACGATTACTCCGTACACCGGCGCTTCGGCAGCGTGCACCGCCAGTCAAAGACTCCACTTATCCTTACTATTTCTCGCTGGTGGCTTCCATACCATGCCACCTTCATCACAGGGGTAGGGACTAGGCTTCCCTTGATCCCTCTGGCCTGTATAAGACAGTCTGTAGATAGCCTGCAGGTCTGTATAACATCTCTACTGTCGCAAGACACCCCTGGAATTGAGCCTCACAGCTTATTGGGCATTTCCTGCTGAAATAAATATATTATCTTTATATAGATATATAGGTTGCCCGTGTAGGTCGGTGATCTCAATAAAGGGAGCAATGACCAATGACTTGAGTCAACAGCGTCACGTGACAGGTGGAACCATTGCGAGACAAAGCACGGGTGTAATGTGATCAGGAAGCGTTTGTTATTATTGCGTCACTTGTTATTTGTTTTTGTTTGTAAAGGATAACGTACAAGGGTGCACAGCCATGAAATGCACAGCCTGGTCACATGAACAAGAGTGAGAAATGCTCGGTGGTCTAAGCTACTCGACTTAAAATCAATGAATAAAAGGTTAAATTAAAGAAGTAAAATACGTGGTAAATGCTTCTGGAATGAAATGCCTCTGACAAAATGATGAACACTTGCTAAAGACGTAGGTTGTGAGGCCTGCATATTTTGCTTATGAAGCAATCAGAAGTACAATTAGTCCAATCAGAAGTACGCTTAGTCCTGTACTTGAAACCTGCATACACGCTTTTTAAATTAATGTTCGAATCTGTGTTTTATTTTATCAGGTAAGGCCCACTGAGCTGTATAGCTCTTTTTCAGAAGCGACATGGCCACAAATGATGTTGCAACGAAGTGGCTTATCATGTAAATATATAGCAGCCACTACTCTTAAACACACGTTTCTAAATGTGGAGGGAAAAACCGGAAGACCCGGAGAAAGATTCACACGACCACGGGGAGAACATGTATACTCCAAATATACAGGCATCAGAGTCGGGATCGTACCCACAACCCTGCTGTATACCAGGCGAGATAGTTAACATCTCTTCACATTGGCGCCCGTGCTCAGAACAGGTTCACAACGCCAAGCTGCCAGCAAAATACAGCACTATTGAAGTTCTAATAGAGTTAATATGTGTTTTGAAGTAGCACAATAATGAATGCCGGCGTTCATGCCTTGGTGGTGGGGGTGATGGTGGTGAGATGGCACCAAAAGTTGCACCAAAGCTTTACAAAAAAAAATCACAGCTTTGATGTTGCCTTTATTGACCAGTGAAATGCTGTAAATGTGTAGTGAGTCCAACTGAGTCGCAGACGTTGTCTTGGGAGCAACACTATTTATTACATCAACTCAACACAACATAACGTAACCTACACTCGGGTGTTGAACGCCCGTCTAACCACGCTACGGCAGAACTAAACACGGTCCCGCAATCCCGGTCCGGATCACGAGCTGGGTCCCGGACCACGTGGCTAGAGGCTTCTTCAACCCGACGTGGATCTTCACTCACACAGTCAAGAACCCCGAGCCCCACACGGGGCCCCCGTTATATCGGCTTGGGCTGAGGCTGGCTCCACCTCTCGCCCCGCCCACCTTCTCGATCTCTCTGGCCCTTTCCCGAAGGCTCCCGAAAGCTCTTCTATACCACGTGACCACCCAGCGGCCCCTGTCCACCGGTGGCCCCCCTCCAATATCATCCGGTCACGTGTCGGCAGGTCAGCCAGCGTGTCATGCCCCAACGTAACCCTGGCTGGCTGACATTCTCTCTCGCTCCCTCACTGGGAGCCCGCACCGCACATTGTACGTGGTGCCTCTGCGCAAACCAGCGCTCACCCAAGCCCCGCTAGGGCCGGTACTACGCCCAGTAACCGGGCTGCACATAATGACAACATACTATTCGCCAGTGGCCTCGCAAGCCTGGTACCACACAGTGACATTCACAGTCACTACAAATGTTTTAATGGAGTTAACTTGCTTTGAAAGTGAACTGTGACACTTTGCTGCACGCAGGTTGTGGTGGCAACCGTGGCCTTTGGCATGGGCATAGACAAGCCGGATGTGCGCTTTGTGATCCACCACTCACTGAGCAAGTCCATGGAGAACTACTATCAGGAGAGCGGCCGGGCAGGTGATGATGCATCTCACTCGCAACCCCTCCTGCGGGCCGCCATGTATACCATTACGTAGACTATTTTTTTACCATACCGTACGATATAAATTTGTAACTACAATATCAATGCAATACCAATTTAACACTACGACGATTATCGAGATATTGTTTTCTCGTGAGGTTGTAATTGTACTTTATGTTTGTATCGGTTTTGTGCTTTGCTGTACTTCCGGTATAAATAAATGTTAATCTTATTTGTTCTTAGTAGTAGTGCCTTCTAGCTGTTCTAAATAAGGCCATCATAAACCACGCTTTCCCATCTCGACCTGCAGGGCGGGATGGTGCCCCAGCAGACTGCGTGCTTTACTACAGCTTTCAGGACGTGTTCCGGCAAAGCCAGATGGTGTCCATGGAGCGCACGGGCCAGGAGAAGCTCTACGGGATGGTGGCGTACTGTCAGACCTACAACAGGTGCCACCTCGAAAGTCCCTTTGCTGTGATGTCCTCAAACTCACTCGTAATCTTACGCTCAAATTGAGAGTTACGGACATGAGCTGGATGTGAGCCCAGTGGCTCACAGGGCTAATTCTATGTCAGAGCACTGAGCCAGTACTCTTCTTGGTTCTTTCGGTAAAGTCACGTACAATGGAAATAATAAAATAATAAAAAGAAAACATAAAATAAAGGATGGAAATAATAAAAATAAAACTATATAAAATAATTTTTATTTTATTATGTAAAATTTTTATTATTTTATTATTTCCATTGTTTATTTTATTATGTTTTATTTTTATTTTATTATTTTCATTTTACGTGACTTTACCAAAAGAACCAAGAAGATGTATCCCTGCAGTCACGGAAGCTTTAAATCGAAAAATTGAGCCAGCACTGTCGAGGAACCGAGGTTCAAATCTGGGTTGCCAACCATGATTGAACCAGATCTTAATTACAGTGAGTCTCAACCCAGTCATCAATGACTACACACACAAAAAACTAATTTAATGTGTTTATTCACGTCATTTGGCATGTTTCTACTGAATATAACACACTATGTTGGCATGAGAGGAACATATCTCGACCAGGCCACTTGACAAGATGCAACGTTCCCAGTGATGATAAGAGCCAACTGAAGTAGTTTGTTGATATCACACGGGGTGATACTCTGCTTTCGGCAAGAATTTTGAAAAATAACTTCACATAATAGCAAACGTGATAAAAACAAACAGGTTCTAACGTGCAACAAGACAGTGGTAAATTAATGAACAGCAGATATGTAATAATGCATATAACACAGTAAAAACAGGATTCAGCAACAACAGTAACCAAAACTAAGGGACAAACCACACGATCAGGATTTTGTTCTAAGGATGCTTCGCAGAGTTTCCAGCAAAACGTTGTAGCCAATTGTTGAATTAAATTCAGTTCACAAGTGCGTTATATGCTCGTACCCTTGACGTCATTTTGTTTGCATTTTCGGGTGGTAGAGGGTCTTACGACCCAAATGTCCAGTTCAGAAGTGGCCTAACCTAAAATGTATTAATTAAAGTAAAATATTCAGATACATAAATAATATTCCAAAATGAAAGAGTAACACAACTGGAATACAATTTAAATCTCAGTGATGTGGCAATTTGCGATTAGATTACATTTTAAGTTTATTTTTTATCTCAGTTCCATGGACATTGTTTGATAGTGACCGTGTTATTTTAACGGATGATGACAATGACGATGTTTGCACAGGTGTCGGCGGAGTCTGATCGCCGAGCACTTTGACGAGGTGTGGGACGCCGCGCAGTGCGACCGCATGTGCGACCATTGCAAAGGGGGTGTCGGTAGGCTCCCATTGGCTCTCGCTGTACACACATACACATACAAATTACATTTGTAATTTTCTATACGCAGACCTGCATGTACATCTGGCTACACATTTAAAATTACAATAGGATAGGTCTGGACTGATGTTAATATTGGATATTGGATCTGTAGTATGACAGCACTTGGGAGTTATGCAGCCACGTGTGTCAAGTCATGTACAGTACGTATAGACAAAGAACCCCCATATAGCCTTAACATGCTGTTGGGGCAAGTGCTGTTTGAGAGCACCTATGAAGGTCCGGCACGATACCCGAGGGGGTGGGGTGGCCAGCACCATGCCTGACTGCCTTTGTCCCCTAGTGGCAATGTTTACACACCGCACCAGATACTCATTTGAGGCTGAGTCGACCGAAAGGAGGCCCAGGACCAGTTTAGATAATCATCACTGGTGTTGCCCTGAGCGAGCATCGAACTCGGGTCGTCAGATTTCGTAACGCAGCACTGCTAACCTTTACACTACCGATCCCACAACAGCATTTTTGCCAAGCCACTGCCAGATGAGGGCCTCCCCATAGCTCGTGAGGGTTATTTCTCCAAATTAAGCTGGTCAGTGCAGATTGTCGTGTTGTTTCGCGGGGAGTTCTCTGAACGTGTGAATGGAGTGGTGGAAGCGAGTGGCATGTTATGGAATATATTCGTTTTGTGTAGTGGTGGTGAGTGGCGTGTCATTGTGCATTCTCTCCACGTGTGTAGGAAACTAAACACTATAAGCTATTTTATTTTTTCACCAGGTAAGGCCCTCTGAGCTATATAACTCTTTTTCATAAGTGACCTAGCCACATATAAAGGCATCAGGGTCCGGATCAAACCTACGACCTTCTGTATACCAGGCAAGGTAGTTAACATCTCGCCACCATATAGTGATGCAGGTGAGTGGCGTGTCGTTGTGGAATCTCTCCACGTGTGTGCGTAGTGGCGGAAGAGGCGAGCGTGGTACGGCAAGCACGCGGCCTCATCGCCATCCTGCGGCACGCCCAGCAGAAGCAGGAGAAGCTCACGCCACTGCGGCTCCTCGAGGCCTGGCAGGGCCGGGGTGCAGTGAAGCTCCGAGTCTCGTCGGTGCCAACTCCGTCGTTCTCTCAGCAGGGCTGCGAGATCATCGTGCTGCAGTTGCTGATGCTTGGCTACATCAGGTAAGAGGGAGTGAGTTGGATTCGTGATTATTTCACTCCGGTTCTCTTTCGGACCCTGCTGCCGTGCACGGACCTGTTTTCCTGTGCACCCTTTTATCATTCAAACACGTTTTTTTACTCGTAGGTTTTCCCAGCCAATATTGAAATTCACTAGTTTTTTTGGGTTAAACCACATAGTAAAACCCTCCACCTAACTACGTGTACAAGCACTTAACACAACAATACGTTTCAGCTTCACTGGTAGGTTGAAGAACAAGCCTTACAACCACATTTTCAATTAGATTAATTTGGCTTTGAGAATTGTTTAACTTTGATGACAAAATATTAAATACATGAATCTCTGTTATACTCATTTTTGGTGCCACATTTGGTATGTTTGATAAAACAATGCAAGGAAGATCACAACTTACGAGAACGGCATATTTTATGAGGAACGAGATTGTCCTTTATAAATAAGGTGACTCAATAAAATGCTTCCTTTTGTTCCATCCATCTGCAGCTCGGGTGAGAAATGTAGCCTATAAAGCCCCCCACAAGATCGGTCGATGGGCATCAACATCTCACCTTGTTGTTGTTGTGCAGGGAAGAGTACAGCTACACGCCCTACTGCGACCATCTCGTACCTGGTGGTGGGTCAAAAGGCGCGGCTACTAGACGACCCTGACCATGCCCTCTCCCTGTGGCTTCCCAGTTCTACAAAAACTCCAGCCAAGGTGCCTTGTGCTCGCTCGTGCACTTACTCACTCACTCGCGGCCATTCTCTGGTTATTGAAGACAATTCCCATAGGGCATCGTAAACAACTCTTTAGAAACATGCGCTTAGTGCTTGTCCATATGATAAGCCACTTTGTTGAGCTATCGTTTGCAGCCAGGTTGCTTCTGAAAAAGAGCTATATAGCTCAGTGGGCCTTACCTGATAAAATAAGAAAAAGTTTAAAAGGATAGTTTTACAACTTTCCGCAGGTATTCTACCCTCTCATTTAGGCCTTCCGTCACCAGGCTCTCTCCTGGCTCTAGATGAAGGGAATGATACAAAAACAAATTCCAGCTCACAAGTGGAATAACTTTAATTTTGCCAAGGCATTTTATTCAAATGCAATACCTCAAAAAATTATTCATTTATAAAGTGATATGGCTTTTAAAAGCCTTGTAATATTAAAAACCACAATACTAACTCATACACAGCCTGTAATATGCACGGTATGTTGGTATTAAGATTTTGTTCCTCCCAGAGTTGTCCACTGCCCTTGCCTTCGCTTGCATTACCTGGATGACTTTGCATCCTCAAGAGCCAGACCTCCCTGCGTGTTGGAGGTCGGTGCGAGGTCTCGGTGTTTTAAGTAAATCGATCAAAGTGCGCTCGCGAACCCAGAAACGCTCATTCGTGATTCGCGTAACAGGCCTGAAGCCTGTGTGATTGTAACGGTGTCTTTACCACGTGTTTAAACAGGCGGACTCTGGTCACACCGCGAGCGGCCACAGCTAGCGGCGCGAAGAACGCGAGCGGCACAGCTAGCGGCGCGAAGAACGCGAGCAAACGCGCCTCTTCCGAGGGGAGCTGCGGCAAGCCCAAACGGAGCAAAGCCAGCGATGTCATCCTGCTGGAGTGATTCTGGATTCAGGCCACGCTAAAACTCCTACGACTGTAGCGAGAAGTCAAGTCACCCAAATGCTACCTTTCCAGTGTCCAGGAAGGTGTTATTTAAACCCATTTTTTTAAATATTGGAAATGTTAATTTTACATTGTTTTCAGAATAACCTACAATGGCGTCAGTTCTGTTTTTTTTTTTATTAAAACTGGAACTTTTTTCAAATTGAATAAGATTCACTTTTGTTTGCTTTGTACGTTCATCATTAAAATGTCAGTTGCTATTATTATAGCGAGACATTTGTGCTGCGAGTAAAAGCGTGTACGTTTTGGGTTATATACCCAGTGCAAAAGCAGCCACGTTACTCTTAAAGGGCAAACCAAATCCTAGTCCAATATAACACAAATCAGTGGCAGTGTCTGGCTTGGTCTATGGTAGTTACTGCAACATTCACAACAAGCATCAAGTAATGATACAGGATTTTTATTCCTTGTCAACAAACATTTGTCCTAAAACAGACAGCTTTGCGGTGTATGGCTGGCTTGGCGATCCCATTATGGCCGTTGTTCTTCTATGGCCAGATTTCCTTTTGGCCCCCGCTTCTTGAGGTCTGCTGCTATTGGTCCACACACTTCCATTGTGTTCGTCTTTGTCAACCTGACTCCAGTCTGACGGTGTGTAACCACCTGCATTATCTTTGGGCGCTGCATTCACAGCTTCTTCAAACAATCTCTTCAGGGTCAAAGTTTCGTCTTTAAAATGACTGCAGCAATACAGAGCCGCTGGGTCGATGGGGTGGGCTTCTGTGTTAAAGATGTAGCCCCCTGCGCCGAGGATGCATTCTCCAAAAGGAGTGGACACACTGTCCTGATACCTCACCACTGTTGTGTAAGAAGTTGTCCGGGTCGAACAGGAGATAGAGATATTTTGTGGTCTCGGCCAAGAAAAACGATTCCATTCGATTTTCCAGTCTTTGATCTTGAACATTTTTTACCTGCAAATAATCAAGACTTTTGGAACAGGCTCTCAAATGTACAAAGTTTACTGTTTGTTAACGGTTAAACAAATCACATTGTTGTTAAATCGGTGTATTTATGATGTGATGTTACTGTCTACGTGCGGTCAAGACTTTCAGAATAAAATTACATTTTAGCAGAAAACTAATTCGTGTTTATTCACGACTGATGCTCAATAGGTCGAGCTCGGCCGTGTTTGTGCTAAATACTCATTGGTAGCAATTCACACAACTTCATTGGGAACGGTTATGAACAAACACTAAGAATTATTCCAACTCACCCAAGTCTAATAACAATGGAGTCAGGTCCACGAAAACAAAGAAAAACACAATGGAAGTGTGTGGACAAATTGGTGAGTGGGGTATACAATTATTCCACTCACCAAGTCTAATAATGCACAACATCCTTTATTCTGAGTGAAGTGTTAAATGTATTCCTTCTATGCAAAGCCTTTGTGCATCTTTATTATTGCATCTGATGCAAATAACTTGATAGCAGGGGTATTTTTTGCGGTTGTCTTGCACTTGAAAATGATTATTGGAATAGAGGCAGTGATAAATCATATACACCCATTGGAAATGTGGTAAATAGGATTTCTGATGCACTTGTTCATGAGCCCAATTGTAACCAACATCCTGAAAGAAATCCTTTACCGTTGCATATCCACACTCCACGCGAGCATTCTTCTCAATGGCCTCCAAGATGTCCTGGCCCAAATCCAACAGAAAGGGGTCCTTGGTCGCTCGATAGAGGTACATGGCACTTTCCACAAGCTCTGCGGAATTAACACGAGCGCTGCAAACGATTAGCAACCACAGCACAGGCAGCAGGGGGTGTGCCGCCCTGAAAAGGTGGAGACAGATGACAGAGGCATTGTACTGTGGCTGACAATATTCTAATCGTGCTTCAAGCATCACGTCACGAGACAAAACGTCCGCTCCGAACTCTCGCTGCGAAGTACAATTCCAGTCGACACCAGCCAGCCCGTATCAACCGGCATCGCCACTGAAACGTATTACACAGACATCGGTGGTCGTATGTTTCACAACGGCGATGCCGGGAAGATCCACGGGCTCACTCTTCCTGCCTGAACGCCATGCGAGAATCCGGGCGGCATCAGGCCCATTGCACGAGCATCAGCACCGCATAAGCACGATTCTGGCTGGCTGGAATTGTCATGAAATCACCATTCTGGCCAGCTTGAATCTGGAATAGTTAAGCTAAGAATAGCTGCAGCCTAGATAAGATAGTATTGCACGAGTCAAACATTACAGACCACCTCAGACTCTCATTCAAATGGTCAGAGCCTTTTATCATGGGAATCGTACAAAGTAGAATCTGAAACCGTTTTTTCTGTGTTATTGCCTTTCAGAAGCTTGGGAATTGATGATGCAATTTGAACATGTTTTATTAATTTATTTAAGGGGCATCACGGTGGTGAGATGTTATCTCCTCGCACGGTATACAGGTCGGGGTTTCGATCCCGACCCTGATGCCTGTATATTTCGAGTTTGCATGTTCTCTCCATGGTCGTGTGGATTTTTTGTCCGGGTCCTCCAGTTTTTCCCTCCACATTTAGGAGCATGCATTGAGATTATTTCCATTATTTTGCTGCTATTTTGTTGAGCTATCATTTGTGGCCAGGTCGCTTCTGAAAAATAAGTTAATACCTTGGTGGGCTTTGCCTAGTAGGTAAATCGAAAGATGGTTTAGTTGTATCTGTATGCGTTGTGGGTGATTTGTTTACCTATCTTATACTTTGCACTACTGTCATGTTTGTATTGTATGTTCTTACCCACCTCTATTGGACATCTGTGAAAAGGAGCTTTATAGCTCATCAGATTCCTCCAGTATATATATTCTGATTCTGTAATTCCTACAGCAATGGTCCACCATTTAAAGTGACGTTAATTAATCAGCCCTCGTTACATGCAGAAGCAGCCAACCCCGTGCTCACCGGGGCGGAGAGGGTACCCCTCCCGCTTGTCGACGGTGGTGCTGTGTGGGATGTTGTAGAACTCTGGGAGGCCACCAAACTGCCTCCACACTTGATGGTAGTTGTGCAAAGTTTTCATGGCACTGTCGATATTTCCCACCAAACTCTGAAAATGGGATACAAGCCGTACATACATTTCTCACCAAAATTTTTTTTTTTATCACGGTCAGCACAATGGAGGTTTATTCAATTTTATTCATTTATTGGGAGACAAATTTTCTGTGATTTTTTTCCAGAAAAATAAACAGCAAAAAACATTGGTAATTGTCTTGCCTGATGTTGTTATAATCCACCTTATTGCACACACACACAACCTGAGCCCACGAAGTATCGTACCCTGGACCTCGAGGAACGAGCTCTACAAGGACCAGTGGGGTCCCACTGTGATGAAGAGTGTGCGTACCTGTAGTCCTGGCCAATAGGCATCCAGCGACTGAAAGACTGGCATTGAGACGGTCCCCTTGCTCATGTGAACCCACACATACCAATCATCATGCTTCATGTACTTCTCAATTGCTTCCGAATACTCTGCAACGAAACGCATGCAAACCATTGACTGTACTGTTCATTGATAAAAAAAAAAATTGCTGGGTATAAACTACACACATCGTGAAGAGATTTAACCAAAATGTAAAAAAAATAAGTAGATCATCTATTATCCGGCAGCTTCGGTGGGAAGGAGGCGACGGGTTTTCGAAATCGCCGGATAATCACTAATCATTATTTAAAATAGCTTATTTTTGCACATTCTTGTATAGCATTGTTTTTAGGTGTTGTGTGTATGGTTTTAGTGTTTTACATTTGTGTACAATATGAAATTGGCATAAACATACAAATAGACAAAAATAAATATCCTACTGTAAAAAGTTACTGTATTTACTGTAACGTACTTACCACTCCAATCTCGAAGACTCTGCATGGGGTGATGTACGTACTACAACGCTCTTGTTTCAACAACTTGTGTTTGACGATCACCGGACTGATGCGAACGTCATATTACACACACTTTGACGGATCGCACTGTGTATTTTGTTATTACTGTAGTTATTAGTCATGAAAAATCTATATACCTGCAGTATTTTTAATTGTTTAAGTTGATGGATGTTGTTTATAATGTATTGTATCTCTAAAATCAAGTTTCAAGCATAGCTACTTTTTTTGTCACGCACATGGTGCCAGTGCCGATCGCCGGACTGGGTACAGCCTTTGGAGCAGTTTTGCCACATAGGCCTGGGACAGACAGAATGATGTTGGAAGCCAGATAATCGCGTGCCTGATTATCGATGATCAACTGTTGTCACAATCACTATAGCATGCCCAAAGTATCGTGTTCATTCCTCCAGTCGCCATGGAAATACCTTTGAACATTTCCATGTACTCTGGTTCATGCAGCAGGATGGCCCCTTTGACTAAGTACTCAAAGTATGAATCGATTCCAGCTCCAATCCCCGCATCCTGTGCGACCCAGGCCGACGTCTTCACATCGATGTGGTTGCCAACCTAAAGGTGATAAGAAATAAAATACACAAAGGCCATGTGTGTTGGCTGCAAAGACGATGCAAGGATGCATGCATATTTTGCAGCTTCGTTTTTTTTTATTTACTTGTCACGTGCATATCACGGGTGGATTTAGACTGTATCGTTCCGTCAGTAGGCCACAACTTTTATCTTCCAATGATTCATTGAAAGTGGTTCAAACTGGCCGAAGTCTGTGCAGAAAATGCAAATGAAGGAGGTTCGCTACTGGCTTGCACCTTCTCTGCACCTTTTTGGACAAGATATTCCGTATAGCAGGGGTCCCCAACCCCCGGGCCGTGGACCGGTACCGGTCCGTGGCCTGTTAGGAACCGGGCCGCACAGCAGGAGGTGAGCGGTGAGTCCGCGCGTGGCCCGCCCATTATTTTATTTACTACTTCCATCCGCGCCTTTTTCCCGCACTGCGTACTTGTCTCAGTCACAGTTTTGGTAAACCCACAAGCTAACCTCTAGTCAAAATGAGCCAAAAACAAATGTCACTGGAGAGCTTCTTTGAAAAGGGGGAAAGACCCAATGATGAACCCCCCCCTCCCCGGTCCGTGAAAAAATTGTCTTCCATG